TTCTGCACGCGCGTTTTCCTTTGCGCTATTCTTTTCTGCAGCTGTTCCTTTCTTTTTGATCCTTGGCTACCTGCAAGACTGCCATTCATCCGGCTTTGACTTGAACTCGGTTTTTCCTTTACGCGCGTTCAGTACACTGTCCGTGCGCTAGCACGATCTGCGCATTTTTTGGATATTCCTTGTACTGCGCGTCAATCCTGGTATCTGTGTGTTACATCTCGTAAGCGCGCCTTTGGTAGTATGTCACCCTCTGTTGGCGCGGGTAGATTTTCTCTTCATCGCCTATTCCATCTACAGGCTTCCTTTCGCGCGTGAGTACCTTTAGAGTATCGCGCCTCTGTTCCCGTTGTGCGCTCCATCTGCACTTTAATTTCATGCCAAGTTTACTTGATTAGATCTTTGGCTAGTGAAGTACTCCTTTACCACCTATGTTGGCATCGTCGTATTTTTGAGTTCTATCGCCGTTCGACGAGATATCGCGCTTAGCGCGCCAACCGTGCTTCACAGATACTTTTTGCCCGTAGTAGCTTGGCTCAATCGTTGCGCTTAGGGCTAGTATTCACAGTTGTTACCATTTTGTTCGTATGTTTAACTTGCCTGGCCAGCTAGTGTAACTGCGACCAACTGTGGTGCGTCGTGAGCATGTTCCTTGAGTGCATTTTCTTCCTGGATTTAGACTCACCTGACGCGCGAGCCGCAGACACGTTCTTACTACCTTGTCTGTAGACGCTTATGTCAGGCACCTGTAGCCAGTAACACCGGCTGTAGTTACACGCGCGGCTTTCGCCGTTGCTTTGTCGGATTTACTTCTTTTTACCCGGATTGGCCCATACTCGGACTTAATTCTTGCCTGCATGACTGTTTTATTGTGTCATTGTTCCATTTCCTATTTGACACCCTCGGTGTGCAGCGCAACCTGAATTTGACGAAGGTTGGAATGGTCCTGCGGATAGCACCTACTCCCGCACTCGCTGTAGTGTCTTCCTCAGCAGCTTGGCTCATATTCCAACATTTGAACATGGTTATACTCAGTTTGCGCGTCTATATACTTAGCGTAACGCGCTAAGTAGGTGGGTCAAGTACGTAACATCATTTAGTCGTTGCGCTGAGTATTAATCATGCCCATGCCGGTGGATTCATCGTCGGAACGTCTAGAGGGAAGTCTCACTGCGCAGACGCGCCGTTAATCAGCCTAGGATACCTCGTGACGATGATCTGTTTTGAGGATGATGGCACCAACGGCGAGCTGGGAATAGGAATTTCGACGTGCGAGTCCGAAGACGACATCTCGCGGGAGTTGATGGAAGTTCGTGGACGAGTACCCATGGCAAATCCACAAGACGCGCAAACGGACGCGCAACCGGGTGATACTGTGGACTCAAACGGTACCAGTAGGCAACACTAATTTTAAATTTTGTTTTGAATTGCTCTTTTTACATTTTATATTTTTCTAAATCTACTAACGTTTTGCATCTGCGCGTCAGTCAATTTTCACATTGTAACATCCTTGTGACTGTCGCGCCTCTAAAATTTATTTTCATACTTTGCCTACTTACCGCGTAACATCTGTCGAGCTAGTTAACCCAGCACTGACACCATCCGGCGCACTTGTGGAGCGCGTTAACATCTATCGCGCCATGTAAAGTCCCGCGTAACATCTTAGTTCGTCGGCTCCCTACCAATTATACTTCCTATTGTAGTAGCGCGTTAACATCATTTAAATTTTCCGCTAATTATTCTAATTTGTTTATTGCTGCTACTCGGTCGAGCAGCCTAGCGGTATAGTCTACTTTAGGCAGTTGCAGCCGTCACAGGACGCGCCGTCTTATTGCCTTAAGTCCCGACCATAGAGCCATTGCAAGCAGTCCATCAGGCTCCTGTAACATCTGCTCTATAGGTTGGGCCGTCTTTCCTTGAACAGACCCACAGTGCTGCACCCCCGGGTCCTTGAGTTGCGGGGTCGACCCCCTCGTCGAGGCATTTTGTCCTCGGCGGGAGGCTGGACCTTCGTCCAATTCGATCCGGATGGGTGCTAGATGCGCAAATTTGGGAGTGTTTCTGGAAAGACGTGGTACTTTTTTCGTCTGGAAGCCAACACCCTCTCAGTTTATCGTTTTATTTTGTGCCCTTTCATCGCAAATTAAGTCAAAATTAAGAGAGGGTGGAGGTTTCCTTTGTTTCAGGGTGTGCGTTCCAGGACGCGCGTCATGTAGGTTCGCAGGGCGGTAGGTTTCGTTTCGGGCATTATGCTCCCTCGATGTTGAACGTACGAGTGTATTTAGAGTGGTTAGATGTGATGGTACGAGGGACGTAATGCGGTTTGGATGCGCAGTAAGATCAGCGCTGGTCGAGATGGATGGCGAGATGGATTGGTGGCGATGTTATGGGCTGGAGCGTCTATCCTGAAACGATGTACATAGTTTAGTAGCTATAGAAGTATTTTTAACTATTGTTCATATTTATTTGGTAAGCACCTTGAGCGCCTCGGTTTATTCTTGTAGTCACCTGCGCGTCAAAGCGCCTGTAGTTTTGTGTTTATTTTTGTGCTTTACCACGGGGCGGGTTGTTGCCTGTTCCCTCGCTACCGATGCCGTATGTTTCTTTTTTTTCTATCATCGCCCAAATTTTTAGGTTAAGGCAGTTGCCCCAGGTCACGGTGCTATCACGTAACCACCTATTCGCAACGCCCAATGCCTTTCGTTGTGGGGGGGAGTGTCGCGGCTCGCGATCGACCGCTCCTCACAGCATGTGGCCGGGAGCACTGTGTTGCCGCGCGTCTCGGTCGTGAGCACGGTCGCCGCGCTTTACGGCGGCTACCTTGTTCGCTCCGAGACCACACCATGTAGGCACGCCCCCAGCCACCGCTATAAATAGCGCGTACGCGCGCCAGTGCGGCCTCTCTCGTCTTGTCATCTTACTATTATCGTCGTGCCGCCTTTATTGATTGGTTGGGTTTCTACGATATCGCCGTCGTGTCTACGTCCCCGTGCCTCGCGCGATTGGATGGATCGTTGATGGATTGTTTGGATGTACGCGCGAGGATAGAATTCCAGGATGATGAACATCACGAAGCGCCTTGGTCGCGCAGGATTTGTTGGGAGCTTTGTTCGATGCTGTTGGTTAACATCATGGGGTCGGTGTTGCCGTGCCGTAGCTGCTGCCTTGGCGGCACGCGGCCGGCCTGTGGGTAGCTCCCTTGGATTCCGGGAGAGTGTGTGAGTGTGCTAGTGTGTGAGTGTGAGTAAGTTAGAGCCCCCATCGGTAGCCCGGGGTAGAGCTTAACTCTCCCCGTGGTAAGTATATTTATATTTGTTTATATCGTGTATTTTTGTGTATATTTATTTAGTAAATTTATGTATTCTTTTATTGTTTCGTGTATAGTGTAGGCGTAACGCGCCATTGTGAGCTGGCGCGCACCCGCAGTGGCCGAAGTCCTTCGGGGACAGGAGCTGGACGCATGGCAGTCGAGCACTAGGTGAGGGGGCGCAGAGCCCACCGAGCCGCAACAAAGCAAGTCAAAGAAGAGGTGCAAAAAGGTAGGATTTTTGAAATGATTTAATATACAAGGTGTCCCAGAAGTAAGTACATACTTCTTAATCCGTAGTAACTCTCTTCTCACAAACTCTTTAAATCAATTCTAGGAATTAATACGTGGAGCAGGCTTCAACTTACAATTAGATTTGCAGTATAAATTGTATCACTCAACTCCATTACTGAGGATTACGGTAGGAAAAAAGGCTTTCATGCCATTAACGACTACATTTTGCACCACAATGAATTCTCAACGAGCCGAAAGTTTTATCAATAGCTAAATAGAGTCGCTGAGTATGAATAAGAAGCTTATACTTACCGTAAGACTTTTTTTCGTATGTTATGTCAAGTAAACCGCAGTAAAGTTGCTGCAGTGTTTTTCAAAAATGTGATAAATATCTTTCAAAACGCTTAAAAAACTTGTAAAAAGCTGTTCAATGAACTCAGCATGTCTGGAAACACCTCTGCGCAACTTTGCAGAATTTTTTGAAACTTTTTCTTGAAACAGCAAGATATACAGGGTGTCCCAAAAAGATGTGCACACTGTTTGATTGTAAGTAACTCTCTTGTAGTGAAGTGTTTCGAGAAGCTTTAGGTATCATTTTGTAGAGCGAGGTTCAACTTAGACTTACAGTGTAGAGCGAATCGCCGGTCGTTCATTCTTACTGTAGGAGTACGGTAGAAACTTCAAACATATGGTGTCACTGTGAAAAAAGGGGCCGTTTCAAAAATTTTCAAAAAAATGTGGAAATTTGTGTAATAGGGTTTTTATGGATCCGGAGTTCAATACCCAACTCTTTACAAGGTTGAGAAGCTTTCTAAACGGTGTAACCGCACTTTTTAGGTACACTTAAAAAACGTCTGCTGCTGCTTACCTCGCATAATTTTTTAATGAAGCATTATGAAGAGTTGCGAACTTCACAATTAGAATCAGCAACTCTATTTAGCCCAGTGTGAGAGTTTTCAGATTGTTTTGGTTTCTTTTTGGAACAAAATATGGCCTTTCATGGCTCAAAACCCTCTTCAAAGTTTCTACCGTAATCCTACAGTAAGAATGAGAGATCGGCGATCCGCTCTACACTGTAAATCTAAGTTGAACCTCGCTCTACAGAATGGTACCTAAAGCTTTTCGAAACACTTTACTACAAAAGAGTCATTTACAATCAAACAGTGTGCACATCTTTTTGGGACACCCTGTATAATGGCGCCTTTGTATGCTGAAAAATTCTACCGTAATCCTACAGTAATGAAGAGCAATAAGTGATTCGCTCCATACTGTAAATTTAAGTTGAAGGCTGCTCTACCGGATACTTCTTGAAGCTAAGCAAAAGACTCTGTGGGAAGAGAGCTAGTAACAGAAGAGAAATGGGATAGCAAAGAGCTATATAATGAGGTGCAGCCTCAATTTTTACCTCAATGCGCTCAACAATTGATGTCTCTATTGTCTTCTAATGAGAACTAGCACCTACCTTCAGCGTTTGGATCCACAATAAGATTGGTGGCTCTGCAGTCAGATACCAAAACACGCTGTGCAGTCATCAAATATGTTATTGAAAGTTCTAACTCTCCAAGGTCCTGCAAAACGGGACTGAAAGAGTAAAAAAATAGTCAGTTCCAAGCATACCACATGCTATGAACAAATCTTACCGGAGTCAGGACTTGCAAAGGCAGTTCATACTCTCTGAATCGCTCGATCGGATTTGTATCGATCCAGTAATCACAGTCGGCTATTGGCACCTGTGCAACGATGTTGAAAAAAGACATGCTGATAAATAATTTTTCTTACCTCAAAGTCGTCTTTGCCAACATCGCAAAACTGGATTTTCAACAGTGTATTGTGAAAGTCTTTCTTCGCAACTTTGCAGGAGAAGAATTCATTGAATATGGTTGTTATACAGTGGGGCACGGCAAGAGTTCTATAACTTTCAGGAGTGTGTGCAATGACGTCCTGAAAAAAAAAACGGTAGTGCTATTCTCTCGAATCATGCAAAGAAGACAGAGAAGACTACTGACTCTACGAAACTGTAACTTTTTGTCTTTTCAAAACTCAAGCTCTAAAGCTATGCTAAGTATAAAGTATAAAGCTCTTTATGTCTCTCACAAACTCATTGCGCATGTTCTCAGGTCTTGTTGTAAAAATAGCCGGGTGCATCACGAACGCAGGCCATATACGGAATGCTCCCATGGCTGCAGCGCGATTCTGATGCTGAAGCGGCAACTGCTATCACATTTTACGCATGATCCATGATCATAATATCCTATATGTAATTTTTCTGAGCGTTTCAAAATAGTAACATATAGAAACTTTTTTCGAGTACAAAAAGAATGGACCACCGATTCTTGCTATAGCTGCAAAATCATTAAAAACTTTCGAGAGTTTCTATACTTTGTTTTTCGTTCGGAAAACTTCCAAAGCATTTTATGTGATACATGTTCTTAACCAAAGATTCTACAAGAGCTACTCAGAAATTATGTAAAGTTTAATTTATTTAGATGTGACTTGATTCGCACTGACGCCAGTATGGGTGTATTAGTCAAAAGATTGGGTACAAACCTCCTCTACCCCAAATACTTTGTTGAAATCTACAGGAGCCTGACTGTTGTTTTTGAAAGAAAAGTTAATGTGTAATGCAATTGACTAAGCGTATTTCAATAAGATTTAGCGGCAGACAAGAACTGGATGGTCAGGCTTGTCGTTTATATTACCAAATCACATAGCAATGAATTGTTGAGCATGCTCTTATGGTCAAAGGTGGTGAGGAGATGGAGAAAGAATTGCAATTTTCATACCTCCCATGTGATTGAAGTTCTCTTCGTTCCCATCCAAGTTTTTCGCGAAATTCCTCTAACCACATGCAGCGCAGCTCTGGAGTGCTTCTGCTTGATGGAGGGTACGAAAGGAGCATTGGAAACCTTGTACATTAGGGTTACGCATTGAAATGAAGCTGTTTTCTTGTCAACGAACCCGTCGTATGTAAAAGTTGAAGGTTTCCTCGCTCTCAACGTACTCAAAAGCGATAGTGACGGTCGGATTTTTCGGTTCCTGTGAATCTGTGGTGTAATCCTCGCCGAGGAGAGCTAAACTCACATCCTCGATGTCGTCGTAGTCAGTCATCGTCGGCTCCGAATAGTAAACGGGATTCTGGTTCAGGGCGATCGATAGCGGGAACATATCGACGATGATGCCGCATGTGTATTCAGTTGGGCGAAGCTGGCTGTAGCGTTGAAGGCCCTCATCAGCATTCGCTTTTGTAGAACTGCTCTAATGGGCATTAGCTATTCTCTTTTGAGACTACATTATTGCATTTTAGCTATGAAGCTGTGGGGGAGTTCTAGCAACTTTTGTAACAAAACGTACAGGAAAAAAAGAAGAGATTAGCGAATCGTAGGCTATCCATTTCGTTTTTGCAAAACTTGAGTTTCTGGAGAGCCAGAGCAATCATGACAATCTTGTGAAACTAATACATTCGTTAGGCGCATCACTGAATGCATAGAACAAAAATAAATTACAAAAAAGCGCATCTGGACAAACCTGCTATAAAATGAAGCTCATTATCGATTGCTTGTTATCACCAATCATAATCTCATGAATCATTGATGGGGAATTTTATCACTTGAAGGAAAAGCGTCGGCTTTTCTTGCAAAATTATTTCAAATAGAACTTGCCAATATTCATGATCGGCGAAGAAATGATGGGAAGTGCTATGCAATATGGCATTCTATCATTGGGGACAAGAGGAGAGGGAGATGGAGATGAATCCCGAAATTTTCACAGTTCCCTACATGTCTTACCAGTAGAATGAGTTCTCACTTAATTAAACTATTGCGAAATTCAAACTAGCTTGCAAAAAATTTTTCGTGTAGGCCTTTCGGAATTTCAAAAACCACCACAAGAAATTTTTTGATGGTATGGCTAACGCGCCAATCCCCTTTCTGGAAAAATTTTTCGTCGCGTCTCCGCGCCAATAATCATCCGTAGCGAGTAATGGCACCCTAGGACCCGCTCTCTTTTCGAGAATAAATTGTGTTAAGTTGCGAAAAAGATCTATTATTTTAGACATTGGTCATATTTTCCAGTATTACAAATTACCTTGAGAACTGATTAGTAGCAACTGCTTTTATAAATAAGAAAAATCTATAGCCCAAAGGAGGCGTAGCAGGAAGAACCAAAGGTGCCGCCATATCGCTAGAGATAATAAAGAGCGCGAGCGCTGTGGAGAGGATTTGGCAGGGATCCAGAAGAAATTGGCAAAGAAACTTGGAAAGAACTGGAAGAAAACCACTTCTCATAACGTTGCTTGGAAAAACGCAGGATGCGGGACGCAATTTGAAACCTGCTTTTTTTGGCTTCCTCAGTGTGATAAGTGAAATTCAATATGTTTTTATGACAGAGAATTCCCGTGGTTTCACTTGGGAAATCATTGAGAGATATGGAAGGCAAATTTAGAACCACCTGTTTAATGCAAAGACTTGAACTAATAGCTTTAAATTTTAGATTTACGCCTATAAAACAAGTAAAAAATGTTGTTATATGGAAGAATTTGAATTCAAAGTTCAACAGTCCTAGAAATCCCAGAAACAATCCAATGATTCAGCAAAATCCTTTAAGGTTTAGTAAATTTCGATGCGTTTTTGAGATTGTTTTTGAAAAAAATGGAAAGAAGGTTTTCGAACAAAATCGAAGGTTGAGATATCGTATCAATTTGTACCGAAATGGGTTTCAAATTACTTAAGTTTGTAATTCGGACAAGAAATCTCAGACAAAAGCTTTTCAATTCTGTGCGCAAATAGAGCATGAGGACCAATTTTTTAGCTATTTTGCAACGTACTATTCCATGCTATTCTGTGAGCGAATAATACTGCTTTGAGAATACAAAACAGTTTTGATCTTTTGAATAATTTCCTGTTACAGTTCTCTAGTTGAGCAACCACCTGATAAGTTTGGTTTCCTTACAATCAAAAACTCGTGGATGAGATTTTGAAATTTGAGTGTTACCAATTTTCAGCCTTCATTTCTTCCCTCAGTAAATCCTTGAGATGCAGTTTATAAAACTGCCTCACTTAATTTTCAAGCTTTTTCCCAAGCAAATTTACGAGCATTTACTTTCTTAAGAACTCTGGGTTTCTGCTCAGTTTTCTCGGAACCCTGCCAAGTTTCCACGACAGTGCTCGCGCCTTTAGTCATCTCCTCCTTACAGAAGCGGCTAGGCCTTTGTTACTCCCGCGCGTCCTGCGGCTCAGTTCGTAAGCCTTGCATGATTTGTAAAAATTGTAAAAAATGTTCCAAAATCAAATTTAACTGCAGATGATATCTAGAACAACATCAAAAGGTTGTAAAATAAATTCCTAAAATTGTGACTTTATGTAGAGACAGCACATTAGCACGATTATGCAGCTGTGAAGAGCAGCCCATTCCAGATCAGCGCTAAAATCATCTGTTATTGGCCCTGTTAGGATTCTTAGCAATTAGAATCTCAGAAAAAGCATATTCCTACTCAGACAATTGACCGGCGGATTTTAAGCAGAAGGGGAAGTTCCGCCGGGTCACCTGCGGAAGTTCCGAAGAATGCGAACGACAACAGCAAAAAAGAACACTGAAGCGAATTTGAACCTTACTCTATTGACTGTGAGACTCACCTACTACCCTCTGCACTACGACTGACATGTTCGATAATGCACTCTAGTTGTTGGCGAGGCAACATCATATTAGATAGCATATTCAAAACCCTGCGGAAGTACTGGCATGTCAAAGGGCGCGGAACCGTTGGCATTTTCCGGAAGCTCCGCAGCGCTTTGTATAAAGCCCTAAGTTCCCGTTTTCATTCAGTCTGACGTGAAAATCCTGCGGGAGTTCCCATTTTCAACATTTCCACTTTTGCAGTAGTAAGCAAAATCCTGTAGAAATCGAGTAGTTACCGTACAAAGCAAGCCGTAAAGTTAAATGCGCGCCTCCGCAGTTACACAATGGCACCATATTTCACGCCTAAAACCGCGATTTTCTGTAATTTTTGTTCCTGCAACCGAAATAAGATGCTTAAACTGAGATTTTGAATTTCGAAAATTGAGATATTAAAGAAAATGATCAAACTGGCTAGAAAATTGGGATTTATATGTTTCCAAAGTGCAGTTTCCAATATTAATAGTTGTTTTGCTCAAAAATCATGAAAATGGGTTTTGAAACAAATTTCGAAACTAAAGTTCGATGGAGAATTTCCCTTCGTCGCACTGAACTGGTATTTGAGCGATTTAGGTTCGATTTAGGTTTTACTTCTATAATCTTGTCTTATCCTCACCACAGCACACCTTCGTCCACCCCATCGACGGCTATTGGGTGTTTGTGCTCTTGCACACACGTCGAAGTTCACGCCGACTTTCGCATGCTTCTTATTTTTTGCCGTTTTTTTTTCTTTTGAAGCCCTTTCAGTATGTTCTTGGAATCTAGTTGGTCTTGGCTCGCTGAACTCATCATTTTTGTTGGCGGATAGTGGGTCCCACACTCGCATCAGCTTTCTCCTTCATCGGCAACTTTATATTGAGTCGCATTCTTGGTGCATTTTCATTAGGTTCAAGGCTGCCTTTACTAATTTTGCAGGCATAATGGATGACGATGATCTGTTTGGAGCTTTTGAAGCGAGCGGAAGTGGTGAGACAACTTCTGCTGCACAAACGAGTGCTGATAAAGATAAGATGGATAAGATGGCGTTGGTAAGTTTTACACTATTTTTTTCATACTTTTTGAATTCATTACATCTATATTTGCCTCGAACATGAAACTTCTTGCAGCTTGATGAAAAGCGAAGAGAAGAAGCTCGTCAACAGGCCGCTTCATTGTTGAACTCCATGATGCAAGGCGAATTCGGTGACTCCATTGAACCAGAAAAGAAGAGGGTATCCTTGTTTAAACATTCTTCTTTATCTTTCTTCCAATATGAAATAACCTTCTGCCGTAGGTTAGGATGGAAACCGATGATGTCATGGAGCAAGTGAAAGAGACATTTGAGAAGACTGTCACCGTGCACACTATTCGTACGGACAACGAGAATTGCACCCACGAGGTAATTATTGTCTTTATTTTTATTTGTTTTTGGTTCTATATTGTGTTTCAGGTAGCCCTGCCGCCAGACATGGAGTTTGAGCCTTTGACTATCAGAGATTCTGCTCCAGCAAAAAGCTATCCTTTCCAACTGGATGCATTCCAGCGTGAAGCTATCACATGCATAGAGAATAATCAGTCTGTATTGGTATCAGCGCACACATCTGCTGGTAAAACTGTGGTTGCTTTGTAAGTGAACTCCTGCAAAGGTAGAAAGCTAAAATGATCCATTTGCTGTGCAGGTATGCCATTGCGCAATGTCTTCGTGACAAACAGCGTGTAATTTACACATCTCCTATCAAAGCGCTATCGAACCAGAAGTTCCGTGAGCTTGAAGAAGAATTTGGAGACGTTGGTCTTATGACTGGTGGGTTGGTTGTTTGGTTGTTTCCTTCGCTCGTTTATTCTCTTTGATCATTAATACCATTCTTTGTTCATTATATAAATTATGACTGAATGTTTTAGGAGACGTGACCCTGAATCCAGAGGCATCTTGTCTTGTAATGACCACAGAAATTCTACGTTCCATGTTGTATCGAGGCTCCGAGGTAATGCGAGAAGTGGGATGGGTCGTATTTGATGAAATTCATTACATGAGAGATAAAGGTATCCTTATTAAGCTGTTGTATACCAATCATTCTAGTTTATCGTTCTAGAACGCGGAGTTGTTTGGGAGGAAACTATCATTTTGCTACCTGATAATGTACACCATGTATTTCTATCCGCAACTATCCCCAATGCACGACAATTTGCTCGTGAGTTTTATTTTTATTTTGTTTTATCGTCGTCTTAATTCTCGAATTTGAATTTGTGTTTTGAGTTTGAACTGAAATTTCTCATTCTCTCGACTAGTACCTCTTTCGCGAAATTTTCGTTTATCCCAGTCAAGAACTGTTTTCGTGCAAATTTGGTTTATCAGTACTTTTCACAACCATTGCTCTTTTACAACTAGTCATGCATTACGTCTGCACAAACTGACTTTTATGGCGCTTTTCCGCATTGTATTCCTATACAGTACCTTCAAGTACTTTCGATCAGATAAGACCACCTAAGTTTTGTGATTGCAGAATGGGTATGCTGGCTGCATCGGCAGCCCGTGCACGTGGTGTATACAGATTATCGTCCCACTCCGCTTCAACATTTCATATTCCCTGTTGGAGGAGAGGGACTGTATGAAGTCGTAAACGTACAGGTAGAGGCTGCTTGATCCGCTTCATCCTTCTATTTATGTTACGTATTTTACTTTTATTTCAAAATAAAATAAATTTTGTAGCAAATTAAAATAATAATTGGTCCAATATCTCGCATTTGATTCAGGGACAATTTCGTGAAGATAAATTCATGCAAGCCATGAGTGGACTGGCATCTTTAGGAGACCAGGCTGCTGGAGGTGTACAAAGAGGTCGCAAAGGTGGAATGAAAAGTGAGTGGTCGTGAGCGGATAATGTTTGTGGTTTGCCCACTTCAGCTAGCTTTGGAGTGTTTTTGCTTTGACTACTTTTAAAACATCATGCCATACAGTCTATGATATCCTTTTGTCTTGTTTGCAACAGTCTATATATCCATGCAAATCCATCTGTATAATTTTTTGACTTATTTTGGACATCGAAAAGGCAATCCTGACATCTTCCATCCATTTCTTTTAGCGGACTCTAATGTGGTGAAGATTATCAGAACTATCAAGGAGCGCGATATGTTGCCTTGTATCATCTTTTCGTTCAGCAGGAAGGAATGCGAAGCATACGCACTTTCTCTCAAAGACATGGATTTCAACGAAGGTTAGCCAAATTTCATCTTCAAGCCAATGACTACCATCTTTCCATTAACTCCGATGTTTCATGTCATATTGCTTATTTGTTGAATCGTCATATGTTTGCTCTCAGAGGAAGAGAAGAAGTTGGTACGTGAGATATACAACAGTGCGATAGACCTTTTGAGTGATGAGGACAAGAAATTGCCACAAATAGGACAGGTATGCTCTGCGCAAGTACTTAGCTTCTCTTTCAGCCTCATTTTTTTGAAGATTCTACCATTGTTACTGCGAGGAATCGGAGTTCATCATTCGGGCCTTCTGCCAATTCTCAAGGAAACTGTAGAGATTTTGTTTGGAGAGGGATTGCTGAAGGTGCTTTTTCTTCTTTTGGTGGATTCGCGAGCAACACATTTACCTATTTAGACTTTTTTTGCAACCGAAACGTTCTCGATGGGCTTGAATATGCCAGCTAGGACTGTGCTGTTTACGTCGGCTCGAAAATTTGACGGAGCAGACAACAGGTGAGCGAAAGTGCCTACTGCCTGCCAGTCTTCGTTTTTAAATTAGTGAAGTATCCTTTTTTGTCCAGGTGGATTACGTCTGGAGAGTACATTCAAATGTCCGGAAGGGCAGGACGGCGAGGAAAAGACGATCGAGGTCTTGTGATCTTGATGGTGGATCACAAAATGAGTAGTGAAGATGCAAAGCAAATTATCAAGGTATGCTTCAACTAATTTGGCAAATTCAGCATGTTGCACAAAAACCCCAAGATTGTTTTTCGTTTTCTCACTTATAGGGTGCAACGGATCCATTAAATTCGCAATTTCGTCTTACGTACAATATGGTGCTGAATCTTCTGCGGGTGGAGGGCGTAAATCCAGAGTTTATGCTAGAAAGGTCGTTTTACCAGTTCCAGAATTATGATGCCATCCCGGGTCTCAAGAAGAGTGAGTTTTATGCGTTTGATCAAATTTCAATCTTTTTGTCCGGTTCCTTTTGCTATCAGTACTTTATTTCACTTCTCCTACATTTTTGTTGATTTTTACTTTTGTTTCTAGGAACGCAAGAGAAAGCTATTGAAATAGAAAATATGCACTTAGAGCATGAACGTGACATAACTGCTTTCTTCGACATGGAGAAGCAGGTATTCTTTCTTATAAGTACCCTACCATAGTCATCGCTTTCAATGTGTTTCATTTAGATAGCCAATCTTCAAACGACCATAAAGAAAACAATTTGCATGCCTAAATACCTGGTTCCTTTCCTGCATGCAGGAAGGATGATCCATGTATGTTTTCATAAGTTGGTTCTCGTTTCACTTTGGAGATTTTGCAGTAAGTTGTCATGTATGGATGTAATTCACAGTTTTTTGCAGGTTGTGGCTGGCACTCGCGACTTTGGTTGGACAGTTCTTGTAAATTTCCACAGAAAAACGAATGTTGACGATAGCAGCCAGATGGTCTACATACTGGATGTGAGAATGCTTAATTACACATCATACCAAATTAGATTTTTTTTGCAGGTATTCATGGGCTTCAGAAGTGATAGCATTGATGAAAATCATAGCTTAGCCCAACTACAGCCTATCTCTGAGGGGGCCTATGTGAGTTTTCAAAATTTGTACATGTTCATGCTGCATTGCAACTCACGTTATCGGTATGATCTTTTTTGTAGTGATTTGAATTCGGTAGCATAACGCTTATCCCACTTTACATTACTAGTATGACCTCATAATACTAAAATGTCTTGATAACAGTAGGCAATTTTTAAGATGACGTCATTTTTGCCAAAATAAAAAAGTACTAGAATTGATCGGAGGTTTCTTGCTATTTGGATTTCATAACCTATTCCGCCTTTTTTGAGTAACGACAGTGTGAAAAGCTTTTCTCGTAATACGCAAGCAATTTGATGTTACGGTAAGATTCCGTTCGTTTCATTCAACTACAACTAAATCTTCCACCTACTTGAATCAAAACATTTGCGAATCCGAATTTACTCTTGCAACTATCCATCCATTTAGGCAACATGGGACGTCGTTTCAATCGCTTTGGATTGTGTAGATGAAATCAGTGCAGTCAGGCTGAAGCTTCCCCGAAAATTGGACTCGAATTCTAAAGGCGTCATAGAGCAGATGATAAAGGTCGACTGATTCAAGAAGATATGCGACAATTGTCATAACAGAATTTCAGAGCGTCAAGCAAAGGTTTGCTAAAATACCACTCCTACATCCGGTCAACGACATGCGCATCACCGAACCAGCATTTGTCCATGCCGTAGAAAAAGCGACTGAATTGGAACAACGGAGTCAGGAGCATCCGCTTCGAAAGAATCGCGATTTTGAGATTATCAAGAAGCAGTACTTAGTGAAGGTACGAACTCTACCTTTCCAGATCGTCAGAGAAAGTCCTGAGATCTTCATTTTTTATAGGAGGAGAAGAGGCGAGAACTGAAGTCATTAGAAGAAGAATTGCGTAAGGCTCAATCAGTGCTACAATTAGATGAACTTAGTCATAGAAAGCGTCTTCTACGTCGGCTTGAGTATGCTGATAAGTCAGATATTATAACGGAAAAGGTTTGTTTCTGCTGGATCTGAAGAGTTTGGATCTTCTCTTCTATTTTTTCAGGGTCGATGTGCTTGCGAGCTCTCCGCAGCTGATGAATTGATGCTAACGGAAATGCTCTATGGTGGCGTGTTCACTGACCTTTCTCCTGCACAGCTTGCCGCGCTCCTTTCATGCTTCGTTTTCCAGGTTGGTTGCCATGTTTGTAGAATTCGCCGTCCGTATTTTTCAACATACCGTTCTCGTACGGATGGCCTTGGAACTATAGGCGCTACCAGTGTATCACATTTTGCCTGAATATGATAACAGTATGAGGTCTGTTAGTGACTGCAGAGGTACTATTCTACACAATGTACTCGTCCAAAACACTTTGCAAAAAAACGTTGCTAGTTGCAAATGGACTTTCGGGAGCAGCCTTGTAAAAAACGGCGCTAAATTGCGATTTTTGATAACAGGATTCATTCTGAGCATTGAACAACTCTGCCACTAACAGAACACTTTACAAGTACAGTCTACTTTGTGTAAGGGAGGAAAGTATTTCACAGCCAGTTGTGACTGCAATAAAAACTGATGTCTGGTGGTACATTGACACTGCTTACCCATTCACATCACGTGGAATTTTTTTCGACCGTATTGCCTGCTGAATTAATGTTTCAGGAAAACGCAAAGACGCCAAAACTTGCCGAGGAATTGTCTGGTTGTCTCCGAAAGCTGCATGTGAGTTTACTTCAGCAGGTTTTGATTTATGCGAGGTGTTCGACTTTAGCGCTACCGTACTAGAGTCGTCGGTGTTCTTTTGAGTTTGCATGGGCAGTTATCCCATGGCGATCGTCGCTCATCTTATTTATGCGAGCGCGTTCCGGTTACGACCACTTCATTTCTGCACGTTCACAGACCGCGCGATCTGTTTTTGTTCTTCATCGTACGCTACCGTAAACATATGTCTATACCTGTTTACCGTATGCAACTCAGCAGGGTGTCTGATTGTCTTATCACCGCTCATTAATTACTTGTTGTTAACGGAATGTTTCTCCGATTGGAATCCTGCTGCGTTTTTTACATCTATGGAATACTCGATTGTGGTAAATATATTATCGCTGTATTTCAGGAATATGCACGAAGGATTGCAAAACTTTCGATTGAGTGCAAACTCGATGTTATTGAGGATAAGTATGTCGAGTCATTCAATCCGGGAATGATGGACGTGGTGTTTCAATGGGTGAACGGTTCCTCTTTCGCGGAGGTTGTGAAAAATACAGACATTTTTGAAGGTACGGGACTTTTTCTTTAACTTGATTGCTTGTAATTTTCTTCGTTAGCAAATTTGATGACTATGCTCTTTGTCTTATAGATGTTTATGACGTAATGACCTTACTAACTAGGTCATCGTCAGGAAAATAGAGGGGGGGGGTGCTATCTCAATTTTTTCTCCTGAAATTGTATTTTCAAGGTACCGTGTAGAGTCCATTTTAGTTTTGATAGGACAAAAATACATCCATTTTCCTTGATTTGCTGCTTGTCTCTTCTAAATCCCTCGGCTTTGAGCATCTATTGGTATGGTGCGTTTACCCTAGACGGCTAGATGCGTTCCACGCCAACTGGTTGTGGCTGGCTCAAGGCTGCGATGTGTTGTGGATGCCGAACTGTCAGTTAACCTTCTTATAATGTGCCGCTACTGTGTAGATCCCCTGCTGTGCTCGCACTACATTCATTTGTTGGTTGTGATTGATAGCTAACTCGCGCAGGAGAACGAGTCGTGTAGCAGGTCAGACAGTGTGAATGATAACTGCGAGCTGGTCATTCTTTTTTGTTGATTTGTGAGTTGTTAGTGGAGGAATAAATAACGGTGGTTTGGATCTTCATATATGACTTTGGTTTAGTATTCAACTTGTGCAAGTTCTAACGAATTTGGTTCCTGGAAGGTCATCTTAATAGAGAGGCGAAGGCTTAGATAGCTGTCCTAGAATTCCCATTAGCTCCGGTGGTTTTTCAAAAAAATTTCCAGTATCCGTAATCTCATCTCTGCCCTATTTTACTGTGGGGAACAAGAGGATCATTCGCGTATTTCTGTGGTAATTATTGGCTTGATAACATTTTTTCCAGGATCGATCATCCGATGTTTGCGGCGTTTGGAAGAAGTCTTGCGAGAAATGGTGAATGCTGCGAAATCTATGCAGAACCAAAGCCTTGAGGAAAAATTCGAAGAAGCTCGTGTGCGCATCAAGAGAGATATCGTGTTCGCCGCTTCCCTCTATCTATGATCCCCCTTCGTCTCTCTAGTCGGAACGCAAACCGCGTGATATCGCCGAGTTCGACTTCATTACATCCATTATCGGAAATGTTGCATATCACTTTCGCTTCTGCCGATCCGTGTCGAAATATCTGATTGTTCTTTGTTTGTTATTTATTGCATTGGTCTCTGTTATCCATAATCGATTGTAGTCTCTTTTTTTTATCGAAGATGCCTACAAGTCGCTGTTTGTTAATACTATCTCTATTGTTATGCAGTTGTTCTGCCCAGGAGGATCTTCCAGGTGTGTATTTTTTGTTGATTTATGAATGCTCGTTATGTCAGAATTTTGAAGTTGTCGGCCTTGCCAAATGAAGAGTTGTATTTATACTGTATACCAATCATTAGGAAATGTTATGACAATTTCAGTTAGTTATCATAGAAGAATGGTCTGTCTTGATTTGGAAAAGTACAAATTTCTTCGCCAGCTGAAAATACTGAATGAGCCTCTCAAGATTATTGTAGATGTTTGCAGCTTCTTCTAAATCTCAGAAATATCACCCTCGTTAAATTGCTGGAAAGTTTGCGATCACTAATTAACGTATAGCGTTTTGTGATCTAAGAGCATGAGTTTTATGAGCTGTTTTCATTACTAAAGTGCGAGTATGTTTTAGTAAACGTCTATATGACTAGTCTCAGCATACTAAGCGGCATTTGTTGAAGTTTCCATTATTGTTGTTGAGAAGAGATCAGAAAGACGTGGTGATTTCGAGGATTGTAATCAACATTAGTGCTCATGGAGCTGTAGATAATTTTGACCGCTGCATTTTCCCCATTTTCTTGCCCTCCAAACGTAAGAGTTTGGGTCTTAGATGCTCCCAGTGGTGCGCTTTGTCGCTATTCGTAGTCAGTAGGTTTTTTAGTTTGTGTGCACTAGTCAAATCCTTTAAAAAATTTTCCGGTATGCGCAATTCCATCACATCTAAAAATTTTGCTGATAAATATTGAGGAAGATGCAGGTAACATTCTGCCCATCGGAAAAACGGCATTGCTAGGTCTCGGCACCAGATGGCTATCTGAAAATGCAAAAATGAAGTCTCCGTAACGCAAAATTTTACGAACTCTCTTTCAGCCTATCCGAAATATCCAAATCGATTGAAAAAAACAAAACATTCGCTAAAAAAATCATTGCTTTGTTTGATCAATCTGTCGGGATGTGGAATCTCTAGTCAAAATAGCAACCTTTCTACCCTGCTTTCTCTTCTACTTTTCCTTTTTTCTTTTCAAGATCGAGAGTTAAAGCCATTGTATTTATATATTATAGTCAGAATTGTTGCTTATTCAAAAAATGTGAAATTGCGGGAAACCGCGCAGCTCTCGCGGCGAACGCCCCTGTAAATCTAGCACCTTTAGATTACTGGTTCACTAATTACGAGTAACCTAGTGCAGTTGCACCTCAATTTGTTCAGTAGTGACTGCCGTAGAGAAGGCGTGCTGTGGAGGACGGGTTTGTCCTGATGCCCTAAAATTATCTAAGCCTCCTTCAATGGGCCATTTTTTTGATTTAAAAATCAATCACAGCGAAATAAGTAAAGTCTCAACAGAAGACTAAGTTCATGTGGCAAAAATAATGCAATGGAGTGAAGTCATATTCAGATTTGGGTGCAGAGCTCGAGCCATTCGATGTACCCCTTTCTGATCTCGAGAAGGATGCAAAACCAGTAACGACGCTAGATGAACAATGCAAGCGTTTTGTCAATCATTACAGGTGCTCCGTTCAGTTATGGCACCATCCACTTTCTGCTCTTTATGGTTTTTTTTTTCAGATATTACTGTAGAACGTCGAACATAGCGACTTACAATGAGGAAGTCAGAATTATTTGCGAGCGATACAGAGCATACTGTTCTGATCGGGTATATCCTTCAGTCAACCATGTGAGTCCTTAATAAAAGGGGTAACAATTTTATGGAATTTTTTCGCATTCAGTTCCAAATTACAATTTCGATTACTAATATTTACAGATCCGACGTCAAGCCGCCTTCTGGAAGCATTCCGGTTTACCGTTAGGTGGCCAAAAAGCTCTGGGTAAATGTTATTCGCACTGCAAAGAAACCGACCCAGTGTAAGTGCAGAGTTTATTCACGTAAACTGGACCCGTACCAGTATTTTAGTTGCGTGAATGCTTGCGAATGTCTGCATCTGCAGTGGTTGATGGACTATGAGTGTCATCCAGGAGCTCGTGCTCCGGCTGGACCGAATTGTCAGAGGTGGATGTCTATATTTGTGGAAAAAATGCTCATTAGGGAATGTGAAGTTATAAGTGTACAAAATAGTGACGAGCGAGGGAGGATACATATAATTCTGTTAATCTGCAAAGTGAAATTTAGAGCAACTGTTTTTTTTTCTGATATTTGCTCAGTCGCAATTGACATCTCCCAATTTTTCAATTAAAAAAAACTTAGGTCTGTACGGCAATGGTTGGGAAAGTCCGGAGTAGATATGCACCAATAATTTCCTATTGAATTTTTTAGGAGCAAGTTATGACATTTGGGTTTCTGTCCTGCAGCCTATGGTAATAGTCGCAAATGCGGAAGATCGGTATTAGCTTTTAGTGTGAGTGCCGAGCAATACAAAAAATTAGAAATCCGTAGAAAATTTGCGTTAACTGCACCAATGTAAAAATAGGCGCAGACAAATTACTGTAACTTGAATTCTTGCTGCCGCTCAGCTTACTCTTTGGAGAGTTTATTATACTTTTCCCAATTTTTGGTCTAGACTGAAAATACTGAGCCACATACAATACCCAGGGTGGTAATTTTTTTTATTTTATTTTTTATTTTCAGTTTCCTAAAGAAGAGTTTGTGATCGTTTTGATTTACTTTCGTATTAGATTTGAAGATAAATCCGTGTACCTTACTTTCTCAAGTAGAAACTGATTTGGAGGCCTTACCTTAGCTATTATCCCGATAGCACATATATCTCATTCGCAGCTAAAATATTCAACTTTGAACTCCTGCCCAGATCGTCATATTATCTACCGTACTGGAGGACTTTGGCAGCTCTTCTCGAAAAGGGTACGGTATGAGCTGAACCTTGGAACGGGTTTTACTTCGGTATCCAGTAAAATGTGAAGGTGCCCTGACTTGCCTGAATCCTGCTTCTAAGACAAGTTGCTAAGAAATTTGCTACAATTTATGTATGGAAGAGTGCTTATAGCTGACCCCTTTTGGTTGGGAACCCTCCCCCCTATTTTCGACTACCTAGCTGTCCTTACTCGCCTCAATTCCGCTCGGAATCGTGTCTCTATGTGTCCAAGCGGAGTTTTCGTTGCCCATCTGTTCCGTGGCAATTTCGCGCGCGCGTTGACAATGTGAGTTCGATACGTCATAAAGCGCTTGACATGGTGCCCGTCTAATTACCCGAGCGTCTCATGTTTCCATCTTAGGTCAGCAACATATGATTGTTTCGTGTGCAATTACACAACACTTGTCCAAGCGCGGAACAGTTTAAATGAAATGCGATTGTGTGCTTTTTGAGGTGGGCGCAGAAGTGTCGAGCCGTATGGAAACCGTTGCCAGATCTCACTCCGGCCACCTCCTATGGCGCATACGCTCCGCAACCGATCGTTCGCGGAGTATTTTATGGATATGATGGGTTAGGTAAGTTTAGAAGGGAAAAAGCAAAGTAGAAGGGCAAAACTATGTGCGGCATCAGCAAGCAGGAAGTTTGAGATAGAAAATAGTGGTTCGAGAGAACTTCCCGGGACTGCGTCTGACGTTGCTCATGCCAGCGCCGTTCAAAAGCCGTAGACTCGAATGATCGTTACTGCAGTATTAACGCGGGTCCCTGTAGGTGCTAGCACGGCGCTGGAACGGCGCTGGCACACGAGCAACTCCGGACGCTGCCTAATAATAAGACATCCGTATTTTTGTCTATAGACCTGAACGGGAAGAAATGATAACTTCAAATCTGAAACTGCAAAATTTTGATTCATACCGGTTATATTACGCATGAACATCAAATTTGGAAGTTCAGAGATTTTGAATTTGCTGAAATCTGTTGTAATATATTTCGATATCTGATGTAATATACCTCAATCCGTGCATTTGAAAAAAAAGCATTTCAAATCGTTTTGCCTCAGGCTTTTGTTTCTGTAATTTTTAGCTTATTTCAAAATTCATGTGAATGCGTTCATTCTCAACTTTGTTCTCTTACCTGTGGAATACACAGTTTGTATTAGAAGATTAGTCATTGATTCGAAAAATAATTATTGAAGAAAAATTACCAGAACCATACACGATTGGGTTTTTGTGATTTGATGAAAAGATCAAATTTCATTACCATAAGATTTAGCCCAAAGTATGTGCACAATTTTGAAGCGTCATGAAGATTGACAAATTAGTCTTGACATGCTGATAGCATATCATCGCTCTGCTATAGAACTACAAAGTTTTGTTTTGTTACTATGCGACGTTACCGTAATTTTACAATGTGTGCGGAAATGTGTGTAATCTATAATAAATCATTCTCACACACAAATGCATTAGAGCCTTCTTAACCTTGCTGGAGACGAAATTCGTGCTTATTCAAATCGTAAAATTAGTATGTACAAAGGTATGATATGGCATATAGAAAGTGGATGATTGATGCAGTTTCTGGAACATTTTTTTGAACATAGAAAAGCGTCCAACGAATAATCTAGTGCACTTTAGATACACATCAACTAAACTCCGACTAAACTCGGCTGTCTAATTTTTTAGCTTGTAATTCTGGTAAGTTATCGCAGTTAATGAGAGTTCAAGCAGCTTAAAGAGATCAGGCTTGATCTAATCCAGAGAAATACCATCTATAAATTTTGGTAACTAATTTTCTGTGGAGGCGTAAACGAGGGGGGGGGGACCTGGTGCCTATTGGGGTTTCTCGGATAGTATAATATTACTGAACTAATCACTAAAAAAGTAGCTATCTCTCCCCAGGGATTACACGCCAGCTACTTTCATTTTTTGAAATTCCAATATTAATTTTTACGTCTATTTTACTCTTAGTGAGCCATTTTTCTATACTAAAGCCTAAAAATAACCCTCTCACCTATTCCGTTTACAGGAAACTACCGCACTTTCAACCGTCCACGCGATCATGGTGTGTCCTTCTACCGAGGAACAAACACAGTGCTCGTCGATTGGCCAGAAGGTTAGAGCCACAACTCTTGTTGGCGATTTCATTACACAGTTCTGTTTCAAGGAAAAGTCTCTGGTGCAAGTACGGTGGAAGTGCCAGTGGTAGGACTTGACGTTGTCTACAATGCTTACGACATCGGTTTTCCGAATCCACAACGGGCGTTGAGGGAGCTGACAAAGTGAGATATGTTTGCTTCTTTTGGGAGGGGGGGGGGGGGAAGGGGAGCGGACGTTTGGTACGAAAGTCTACAGTAACTGTGGTACCTAGCTTGTCTTAACACGCCTCCGCAGGATGTTTCGCGCGCAACCGTGGTCCTGTATGGAAATGCGTTACGGTCATGCGAGTCGACCCATACCCCTTTCACTCACTGGTTCTGGTATCTACGGTATTTTATCATTCCAGGGACAACCCGGACCCGCTAAATCCTGGAACAGGGCGACGACGAAGTGCAATGACACTGCTCCGACGGCAATGACATGTGAATTTAGTCGGAATAAAGATGTTATTGGAAGTGTGAGCGTGTTGTAACATCGCTTCCGCCGCTCTGCCCACAGCCCGCTCTCGCTGGCTCGCGTCTCCGCCGACACCCGCGGCGCGTCGCGCTCTCTAATTGGGTATTGTGCCTCCTTGAGCCTAGCAATCAGCCACGAGGCTTTATGACTCGCTTAACTAACATGTTTATCGCACTTGACCTAATATTTGTGCATTTTGTGACTACGGTAGCCTGCTCGAGCATGATCCCCTCGGGACGAGACGTCTTTGATGCGAAAATAGGCGAGAGATGTTGGTTGAGTAGAAAACGGCTTCTTCAGGGGCGTCACAATGCTCCTATGCTCAGCAAATACAAGTGCTCGAATCTAATGAAGGATAGCTGATAAGTCAAGAGTTACAGGAATAAAATTCTTCTCACATAAGAAAGTGAACCGAAATTTTGTTGAAGAAGGGAAGCAGATACGATTTAAGCACGTTATTATGATTAGATGGTTATCTATGACTATGCCGAACAAATGGGTTTATGTCAAGAGGCGCGATTTTTATTGCCAGATACCAATTAGCGCATTTCTTTTGAGGGGGAAGTCCTAACATGTAAGAGCTATTTGAATTTCTAGACAAATGTACGATCGTCCCATAGATTACTCTATTTTATTGTTCTGAAATACGCTCAAAACACAAGGTTGCAGCTCAAAAACCCGTGAAAAGGCAAATAATGGCGTTTTCGTGAATATTTCAATTAAGTTTTCACCAAAAGCCGTCAAACCTCGCAAGTGGTAGCTTCAAATAATTAGTAAGAGCACTTTGTCTCTTATTTTTGAATGGTTCGCATAATTCTAAATTGGACTGTTAAATTTGTGAGTTCTGGAAGAATCGCGCCTCCTGAGCGTCTCCTCCCAACAAATCGCTGTCTTAACTACCTCATAGCGTCTTTCTAATAATCAAGAAGTATAATGCTTACTCCAAAAACCTCTTCCTATCAGAAATCACAGGAAACCTTCAAAAGATTCAATCTTTGGCTTTTCTTATAAATCAAAGTCATGAGAAAGCGTTTATGCAAGAGTTTATGCTGACCTGAGCATGAGTAGTAGGAAATCTGTGAAATGATGCTGTAGAATCAAAACTCACAGGTAAATTACGACTATTTTGTAATGAGCAAAATTACTTCGATGCATGTCTTGTCACACTCGAAGAAAAAAATCCTAACATTTTCTTACAAGGATTCTTCCCTTTAATAACGTAAAGAGTTGTAATTTTTGATATATACAAGTCACACATGGACTATCCAGTCCTGGAGTCTTAAAAAATTGTTTCCTTCGTATCAAGTGATGTGTTAGCGATGCTCTCGCAAATCCATAGAAAATGTGAAAAGATAAATAGGAGAATGAGAAAGTTTCTAAACTAAAGAAAAAAGTGGAGATTGAAGTGCCGTCACAGAATTGCCTTTGAATTTACTATGGGTTATGTCCGCGAAAATGAAATATTACCAGCTGCTTTTGGCCATATAATCCAAATGTGAATTTTTACCGAAGTCCTTAAAGTTTTCCAGAGGAAGACAAAGAAGGTGTAGCAAAATTTATGTTACGAACTAATTTAAAGTCGTTGTTCACAGCAGCCTATGACAACAGCTGGAACTATACGAGTACCGGCACTCCTACTAAATTGGCAGTGTGTTTACCGTTACCCAAGCGGCACCTTCATAGCTGCTCAGGACCAGTTCGGTGCAGCTGTGCAGTGGGCGCTGATGAAGATGCTTGCTTGGAATTTCATGCGTCTCATTAATCAAATCGGTGTTAACCGCGTGCGATGTGCGAACGCAAAGGCCGAGCCGCCCGGCTGTCTGTTCGCGTACGGGGGCCCGAAGAGGTGTCGCTATGCGTATGAACGGCTGTGTATGTGCATGGTGAGTGTGGAATCACTCAACCGAGGTTGATGATCGAAGTTTTCACAGCACAGTCAGCAACAGAGAGCGACCGGCCGTCTAGCGACACATTCAATCAAAAAGCCGCAGCGTCTTTTTGCCGTGCCGCCACCGGCCCGCTCTTCGCACCGCTCGGTTCCTTTAGGGGCAACAGAAACCCCGGCACGTCCGTCTCATGAACTGCATCAAAATAGGACATGTAAGGCGATGAGCGGGTCGCCTTTGATGCGGGGTTGTCATAGATAAAAAAAGCTATGCTTTATTTATTTCAAACGCAACACAGTCTACTGTAACCAGATGGTGGAATATATATAAAGGATGAAGGAGACAGTATTCGACTCCATATATTCCAAGGGCCTGCGCCAAAGGCATTCTTTTTCATGTCGAAGAGGCAACTGAATGCGGGCAGGTCTTTTAGAGTGACTTGAGAAGGTCAGACTACTACCAGGTAAGTGCTTCTATTTTACAGGTTACTCTGGTATCAATTTACCGCCTTCTGAAGATAGAGGGCTTGGTTGGCCCAAAGGCGGGATCTAATTTTGGTCCGACCTGGTCATAACGGCTTCTCATACCTCTACGCCACTAGCCCCCGGCACATACATTTTGAGATTTTATACTCTTTTTGTTATTAGTAATATTATTAAGATAACAGATATACAATATTCGATACCCCAAGAAACTCTTAGTCAACAATAAGTGTAGCTGCTTCAAATAACAAGATTTGGTAGCGTCATATCTTAGTTCATGAACTGGTTTTAGGGGACATTTTGCACAATAGGTACAAAATTAAGGGGTTATTACCGCAGGGTAAATAATATTGCAGACGAGAAAAATAAGAGAGAAATGTGATCACGTGCAAAATTTTCGACTTCGTTTTCAAATATATGAATTTTTAGCAGCATAAAGATCGATTAAAATAAAGAATTCGAGAACTGGGTGCTAACACCGGAGCAAACGAACAAATTTTCGCGCATAGACCTCCTGCTGTTCCAGCGCTCGTCACTAACGAACTGCCCGTCTCAGCGCGGCTACCGTAATCCCCCGCGGCGATTGGCGGCGCGCCCGCCCCGCCTCCCTGGGAATTCGCTCGAAATTCACGGCTCTCCCACTAAATAGTCTCTCGTCATTGAAATTTTGTTCCGGCCTTGCTCCCCATCTGCATAGAGTCATAACACATTTACAGCTAATAATGCCCCGCCCTGGTAAGGATTCCTATGATGAGCAGGTCAGTTTGCTTCCAAAGGTCATTTCCGGGTAAACTTTCACGCCTAAAGTCAATTTATGCTTTTAGAAACCTCCTTATTCCTATATTTGGCTAACTTATATGGCTATCCAGAATTCTGAAGAAAAGATGTTACCACTTACTGAAATCTACAAATTTATCATGGATAAGTTCCCATTTTACAGAAAGAACACCCAAAGGTAAATTCATCAAATCAGCTTTTTTTCTCATCTTCGATGAGCAATTACAGATGGCAAAATTCGTTGCGACATAATCTGTCATTTAATGACTGCTTCATAAAAATTCCGCGAAGACCTGATCGTCCTGGAAAGGTGAGCAATCACAATTTGTTCTTTTCTTTGCTGATATTGTACTCCTCGGAATTGTTGACTCTTTGTAAATACATATTGCAGTCTATAAAATTACTATAAAGTGAAGGTCCTATCCAAAATATAAAACACTTGGTGAAGCAGTATTATGAGCTTTGCAAACATTGTGTTCTACCTCACTTTTGCGATAAATTCCCAGTCCGAACATTTCTACTCAAAGGATTTTCCAAAAAATCTCTTATTTTACGGCTACTGTTTCTCTCGGCTTCTGAAAACATCGCAGATTAATCAGATTTTCGTTTATGGTTACCCAAAAACCTGAGACTTATCCTCTGTAGCCGTGCAGCCGTCCAAAGTCTGAAGTACTGTACTTTCTTACTTTCATCATCGGACAACACGTTATTACTTCTTATAAGCATTCCATGATCTCTAAAATCATCTAAATCAATCTCTTTCATGAATTTCTTAAACGTACGACTCATTCTGCTTTCCTTCCGCTGAAAAATGAACCAAAGTGCTGCTAATTTCTCAGTTTTCTGATTTCACTATATATATCTCCCAAATTCGGTCTGCTTTGGGTCATTTGCAAATTTGTTCTAGCCAGCCTCCTCCTAATTCTAAAACTTCTATATCCCTCTGATTATTGTCAAGAATTTGCCTATTTCTTCAAGGCACAGCAAACGTTTGCTGCGTTGACGATATTGATGCGCACTTACGTCTTATCTCATTTCGTTTTGACTATTCCCTTGTAATTACAAAGCGTTCTGTCCAATCCAAAGACATTTGCTGTGGATTCCTTAGGGAACGGCAATGATAGATTTTGCTTGTCTCAGCAAATTGAAACTGATGCAACAGATTTTGTGTGATTTGGCGATATTTTCTCTCACTTGCTACTGGCTACAGTATCCTCGACTTGCACCGCTGTTTATTTAGTGGAACATCAACAACAAATTTCTCAGTCACAACAGTAAATTCGATGCAAATCTGGTCATATCGATTGAGACTTTTATGAAAAGTTCAAATTAGTTTGAACAAATTTTACACCTGGCATTCGATTACCCATAAGCAGTTGATAAAAAAATGCTTGTTCAAGACTGCGGTTGTTAAGAAATGTTCGCAAAAAAACAGATTCTCGATCTTGGGACGAATTTAGCAAGCTGAATATAGGATTGTTTATTTTTGTCTGTGATTTTGCGTACCGCAGAATTTGAGAACATTGACTCATGATGGAATCGTTATTGTTTGTAAATAAATAATTGAAGAATACTGACACAAATTAATGAATGGTAACTCGATTTCTAACTCGCAGCGATTTGGTCTTCAAGATACTGCAGAGAAAGCGATGACACCTCTGGAAATTTCCTAAATATTCGACCAGCAATTTTTGCAGATTAGAAATTTTAGGTGCTTCGATTTATGTGCAACTTTTTAGGGTTCTTACTGGGCCGTTCATCCGAATGCACTCGGCATGTTCGAAAATGGCAGCTGCCTCCGCCGAAGGAAACGATTCAAGGTGAGCTGCAGAAGCATCTTCATTTACTGTGTATCAACTAACACCTTGTTACACACTGAGCGCCTTGATCAGTTACCGTATACTAAAACAAAGACGAAAGTGGCGAGACGCGCAGCGGCGGAACTGTTAATCAGTGTGCGGAACGACAATCTTCTATAATCAATATTAACCACAGAGACGTTGGGAGAGCGGAAAAACGTCTACTGCTCGCTCCTCTTGACATTCTTACTGTAACTCCGAAAAGACGTTTAACTAGTATGGGATCGTCGCATTAGAAATGCGCCATCATGCCCGTTTTGCCCCTGACGAAGTGACACTTGTTCCCAAGTGCAAATGTTTTCTTTGATGTTCAAACTTTACGGATGGCGCCTCGTACTTCCGCTCCGATGCCACAGCGTCGTTGATCCCCCTACCCCTCCCCCTCCCGACTCTATTCTTTCGCTCGTGCATACCGTAACTTGTTTTGCGTACATCGTGTTCTTCATCACAACGTGTCACGCAGCGCACTATACTACGTGCATGATGAATTGTAAGAATGTTTGTGCGACAGGGACATTAACTAACTTCGAACTCGGCCATCTAATTAAATGTCTTCACTTTGTCTTTGCTTATGTCACTTCTGGGAACAAAAGCGAATCAAATAGAACTATATGACTGATAGAAAAAACTGCACAGTCACCTTTAAAAGACCACATTACAGGTTTAAGTAGGTTGTTTCCTCAAACCATCATAGATTCCTAGACTAATGATGGGAAACTCGAAAACGCTTTGCACATGTATGGCTAACATGTTATGGCTGACATGTTAACACTTGTGCTCTATTCTCAGCTTGAATGAATCTACTAGTTGAAATAAAAAATGACAAGTTCGATCTTGTTGAAATGTGCTTACCGCTTCTGAGTCTCCCAGTCTCGAAAAGGATGGGACGTGCGTGCACACAACATACATACTGCTTGTCAAATCTTGAAAGTTTTGAATCATTATGCGTCGAACTTCCGGAAAGCTTTACAAACCTTTCTTTCGACGCTACGAAGAATAAGAGCAAGAAGTGGCACAAAAAATGCACATATCTATTAGACAGTGGTGTACCCAGGGTTTCCGTCCGACAAAAAAATTTTTCTGGTAAAGTTTTGTGGCGTTGCCATTTTTTGGTATACTCCCCAAAATTTTTGCGTGCCTATAAGCCCAAAATTTCAGAAAAAGGGGCGTGGGGCCAGCCACGCGAGGGGCCGCGTTCGGTGTGTCTGCGTACAAATTAACAAATGACCGAAATTTCTCACCCTTCTCTTTGTCAAGAACCACTACTTTAAAAGAAAGTCTATTTATACTTATTATATGGTATATATATATAATAGTGGCATCTGTTCCGAGTGACAAACCCATGGAATTGTGTACATGTGTGAACATCCGCATTCTGCAGTTCAATACATTACCTAACGATTCTGCTCAATTATACGGGGTAGGGGAATGAACTCCGCCATTTGAGCTGCGTCCGCGGGTTACTGGTCTGCAACGACATGCAATAACATAGCAAAAGGACCAGTTGCCAGCGAAGGTCGGCTCAAGGTGGCGGAGTTCGTTCCCCTACCCAATCATACGCGTTATCAAAATCATCTCAGCGTGAGGGAAGGAAGCCAAGATGACATACGTCACCAATTGTTCATTTGCTTTGAGTACTCGTAAAAACGTTACTATAGGCATGGTCCAGGATAGGTGACGTGGACCGTTTTCTTTTAACGTTTGCATTGTTCATTACGTCAATCTTCCCTGCAGTTCCCAGAATTCCATGTTAGGCAGAGATTTTAAGTGGCCGGCATAGCCAAGGCATCAGTCTGTCAATACTGTAGGACGCAAAAGGTTTTCTTAAGCCTTCATGTAATAGCGAAATACTTTTCGAGATGTTTGTGGCCCATGATTGCGACCAAACATGGAGTCTCCTCTTGACCCTAATTCTTGAAAAGTGTTGCAGATTTGCTGAAGAAGTGGTGTCCAAAAGAATTTCTAGAGAAATCATTGGAGTTTTTATTTAAAGCTTTCTGAAGCCTCGAAAAAACGCTTTTTAACATTTCAAGCATATCCATTTACAACGCATTGCCTGGTATTCCTACCATACCTAGGAATTTAACAAGAAAATTGCGTTTGTTCTATGTTACAAACTTGAGTTAAGTCGCTTTTGTAGTATTTTGGATCTTATGAGGAGGTGCGGGAAAAATCACCGCATATTATAATGTTGTGCCAAGAATCCGTTTCTTTCAAATGACTATAAAATCCACCTCCTGATGCGTTCAAATAAGTATTTATTTGATGTAACTTTTAATTATTTTTCTCATGATTACATTTTCGAAACAATATCTTCTTGATAAATGCCAAACTTACTCCCATGCCATCTCTGCCTGATTGGAGTTTGTCTGATTTTTGAATTTTTTTTTTGGTTTCCGGACAAGAGTAGGCATATTATTACAAGTGGGGAAAATCTCTATACGACAATGTTTTAGATTCTACAGATCTGCTCCCCAAAGCTTAACGAGATCATTTTTTCGGGTATCTCAAATTTAGGTAAAGTCGTTAGTTACACAATTTGAGCAAAACAGAAGTTTACTGACAAGGGGCGAACCCAGAGTCGAAAGTGCGAAATGAGGTAAGCATCATCTGAATCAGCGTGAGACGCTGATTTCAAATTTGTATCCATTATCTACCAAGCGGTTCTCTAAAAGGAGGTATGAGCCTCGGTTGCTCGCTGACATGTCAAGTTTCATTAAGTAGGATCCGCACCTGAAGATCATGTGTGGTCGTCTGGTGTAGTGGATAAGCGCGGAGCCTATGGAGCAGATGATCGAGGGTTCGGATCCTTTTCCCGTTCAACATTTTTGCAAGTTAAGAATATGTTTGTTTTGCGCTATAAGGGGTATCCCGCGCACATGTACGGACTTCAGAGCATATTCTACTGCTGAAAAGTTGGGATTTTCGCAATTTTTCTTAGCATTTCAGCGTTTCACATCATACGTGTTGGCTCATGATATTTCATTCAATCTTCATCATAGAGACTCGATATTTAAGATTTTATCTCTAATATACCACCAAATTTGTTCGCAAAGATTCAGAAATTTCATTTCTTACGCATGGTTTGCTTCCGGTTACATAGAAGCCCACCGCGGACATTTCGAAAGTCCGATTCAGTACTGTTTTTCGCCTTCCATGTTAGGCAACTGTGAAATTGTTGACTGCACTCAATTATTTTTCATTGTGCTCATTGCGAGAAGTTGCTTTGTTTCGAGCACTTTGTTCTATCCTATCATAGATCCGTATAAATGTCTGGTTACCAAAATTGTGTCAGTGAGGCTCTGTAACGCTTCAAAATGTTAATTTGCAGCAGAAATTATGTAAAAACTCACAGCACCTTGTCACTCACATACATAAGATATACCGCTGACTGTCATACCAGCGGCTAAAACCTTGGTGAAAAAAGTTGCGAAAATCCCAACTTTTCAGCAGTAGATTATGATATGAAGTCCGTACATGTGCGCGGAATACCCCTTACAGCGCAAAACAAACATATTCTTAACTTGCAAAAATGTTGAACGGGAAAAGGATCCGAACCCTCGATCATCTGCTCCATAGGCTCCGCGCTTATCCACTACACCAGACGACCACACATGATCTTCAGGTGCGGATCCTACTTAATGAAACTTGACATGTCAGCGAGCAACCGAGGCTCATAACTCCTTTTAGAGAACCGCTTGGCAGATAATGGATACAGATTTGAAATCAGCGTCTCACGCTGATTCAGATGCTGTATAGCTTACCTCATTTCGCACTTTCGACTCTGGGTTCGCCCCTTGTGAGTTCCCGCGAATCAAAGCTTGTTTTGCATTAGACATTTTTTGTGCAAATAATCAAGTTTGATTTGCTTCGAAGAGTCATCTGAAATTTTGTTCAGAAGTAAATCATTATCATAGACTAAAACTTCATCCAGTTAAGCTAATACAAGTAGAATGTAACCAAAGATTTTCTCTACATAAGCACCAGCGCTTTTTTTAGCATCGCTACGAGAAATATTTTTTGAAATTAGGGGAAATTTGGCGTCACTGCCAGATCGCTCAAAGAGCCACGGCGATAACATCGCTGAGACTGCTTAAATCAGCGATAAAATGTAGCCTCAAGATGAATTTAAAAGTGATTTGAGTCGAGAGATACCTAAGTCGTCTGTAGGTCAGTGTTCCATGAGTTTGTTGACGGATTAAGTAAACGGACAAAATATCTTCGAAAATCTGACATTTGGATTTCGTTATTTATCTAATAAGGAGTTGGCAGATTTCTAAGGTTTGAATTTTACAGGAGCTTTCCATCTCCTAGATTATCAAACATTGTTGCATGGATTCCTCATTTTGCAACTGTATTTTGAATTATGACTGTTTTTAATTTCATAAGTACTGGCGGAGACTGTAACAATCAAGAAGTACCTTGGCTGGCAGTCAATCAATCTTTAGGGATAGTGAAATATTGCTGTTGTCGCCACCATTCTAAAAACGTCTTCCGATTTTCTTAGCTAAAGAAAGAGTAAAAATTCAAAAAGGTTGGACCGCAATCGTAAATCTTATGTTTTTGAGTGTCAACGCCTCCTTTGTTCAGTCTTCATTACTATCGTAAGGTGAAGAAACACTTAATCATTTACGCAGTAATCTTCAAAAACACCCTTCTAAAAATTATGGGGAACGCATTTCAGAATGAACTCACTCGTCAAGCTAAACTCCTACATACTTATAAAAAACACTAGTGAATTATGAAGCGAAAAACCTGATGCCGGAGATTTATGGGGAGGGGTGGATTTGTTCCAAAGTAAGGCAAAGCTGAGCTTTTTATAGCCTATGCGTTTTAATTTTACGAACCTCTCCCCCCCCCCTCCCCCCCCCCCAAGGAAGAGTAGGGGTGGGGGAGGGGGCTGCGCAATAAACAAGGTCCTCAAAATAATGTCACAGTATGGATTTACTTTCTTTACACTGATCTTTCCGCCTAAGGCTCGGACCAGCTGGAACCTGGGAGATTTTCAAATGGAGCCTGTCTAGATTCGGAAATTCCACGAAGTCCCCTTTGACCTTAACCTCCCTCCCAATCACTATTTCTCACTTGCCTTTCTTGCTTCTGTTATAGTTCATCCTCCCTCTTTTACTTTTTAATGAACTAGCTGGCTTACCCGGCTCCGCCGTATGTTCCGAATAGAAAATTTCATTTCTTAACTGATCCGGACCTAACTTGGCACACATACCCTTCGGGCCCCGGCGGGTGTCATAGGCTACGATATCGATCGATGACGAAAAGTAGCCTATGACACCCGCTAGGGCCCGAAGTGTATGTGTGCTAAGTTTGGTCCGGATCGGTTCAGAAATGGAATTTTCTATTCGGAACATACGTACAGACAGACATACATACAGACAGACAGACAGACAAACAGACATTCAGCTTTATATATAAGATAGAAAATACAAAAATTAATGCTTTCCTCATAATGCGCCAAACGCTTTTCCATGGTCGAAGCCTGAACCTATGTACCTATCCAGCACTGGTCCTCCCCCACATCTCCCTTAGTCCCTTCCAAACCTCCCCCTCCTCTTCTCACCTCGTCCACCCTCCCCTTCCTCTCCTTAGAATGATAATGCTTATGTACAACGGAAGAGAACACAGAAAGAAAAATGGAACTAGAAAGCCAGGCGTAATCAACGCCAAACTCGATTGCTTAGGGCGCGCTTTGCAATTGGAGCAGATTGCATTGCCAATGGAGATTTTCGAGGGCCATGGATAGTCTAGAGGAAAAACTACAAAGTTTTGCTCGTAAACAAAACCTACAGTGAAGGGACAGTATGTATAGAAAAGTATGAAATTATGAGCGAAGGGTTACAGTTTCGATTACTACACGATTAGTAAACCACAAGTGTTAGATTTGCGCTAAGTTTTTTCCTCTTTTTTGGCACACCGTTGGTGTATTATAAATAAATAAATAAATAAATAAATAAATAAATAAATTACAGCTCAGCTGGCACCTAGCCAGAACGGTTCCAGCTAATTCAGGAAAAAGTTAACCACGGCTTTCATTCACATAAGTTTTCATAAATTTTTGAGCTACAGTCGAGCCCCTTCACGTGCATGCTCATACCAAATATGGTGTCATGCCATTGTGTTTTGGCTGTGATAACGCTTTTGTTTGTTCGGCGTGGAGCACGCCAGCTGCATGCCGCGAGCATGGCGGCAGCATACGGGCAGCATGCTTGCTGCTCTTCACCACAAATCCCGCGAAAAATTAGCCTATCTAATTGCTTTTTGTCCCAGAAACGATATCCAGCTTGATCCGGTTCCAGCTGGTCCTGTTTCCGCTACTTCATTTGATAAATTTACCTAGTTTAGAAATCTCATTCAAGAAAACTACCGTAATGTCACGGTACACCGTCAAGAACCATTAGAGATGTTACTGTAGTACTCTTCAATCCCTTTTTGTCCTTACACATTTTCTATCTTCGGTAATGTGACATGACCCATCATGGGTTTGAAAATTACCTGCATACCATACAGTACCTGAAGCTTTCTGTATTAACTCCCTTTTTGAAAATCCCTCTAATTTTTCCAAAATTTGGGGGCCAGTACATTGACGGGCAAATGCAGTGGCTCGGGTAATTTGCAATCGCGAGCTTTCCATCCAAGGCTGTGCTTGGAACGTCAAGAAAATGCTTTTTATGTTTTCCGGACTAGGAGATTGCTGGAGGGGCTGGATAAGCGATTCCACCCAACTGAGTCGGGATCGGTTGCCTCATCCACTCAGCCAATTGCCGCCAAAATAGGTGGAGCTACAGTCTTCTGCGGCCAGTCGCCATTCTCGGCGGGGATCTCCCCTCCAGCCCCCTCAGCATCATCAAGGATGGAAAACTCTATAAAGCCCTTGTTTGATTTTCAAGTACGTCCCGGACTCAGCGGGTTCAAAAGGCCATACACCTGTAAAGCGCGCCTCGTCATGGAAAACCCATATCTGGGTTTTTCAGCGCATGAAAATGTCAAAAATGAACCTTTTCTGAAGCTTCCCAGGTTCCAGAACTGGAAAGCTTAGGAAGAAGCTCGTTTTGGCCATTTTTGCGCTGAAAAGAAGAGATATGGATTGGTCATGGCGAGAAGGCCCCGAAAAAGTGAAAATCTGGAAGGCGAAATTTTGCGGGACACTGCCTTCAAGGTACCGCAGTTTCCTTCACCCATTCTGCTGCTACTGGCCGAATGCCTTCCCAGCCAGTCGCAACTCAGAAGAAGGCTGGCACAGACGCGCCACATATGCCGATTCCCATTTCAAAAAATGTGGCTTTTCAATGGCAAACTCTGCATAATCTATTGAGCTCAACCGCAAACTGATGGGAATGTTTGGAAAGTAGTTATCGCTTACCCGGGCTTGTTCACTGTGCTGAATCCGAAAGTCCACACTGGAGAGCGTGAAAACGGTGAAGAAGGGCTCTAACGCAGGAGTGTAATCAGCAAGCGGGCGGGGTCTTCCCCACTGTGAATTCACCCTCCCAGCTTCCGGAACGATCTCGAATCTTTGCCGCCCTGCCATCACCACCAGACAAGTGCGAACGATTGACTTGCAACCTTAAAGGCAGTGTCTCACCAAAGTTGAGGTCGCGCGGATTTTCACATATTCTATCATAGGGACCTCTAAATAGGCCATTGCAACAAGTCCCACTAAATTTGAGCCCCTCCAAGCTGAGAAAAGTTCGTTCAAAGTGGTACGCGGAGAGCGACTTGGTCGCGGACGACTCCTTCGGTCTCCCCCCTTACGCGTTTGAACATGTCCCTCCATTTGGCATCCACTTCCCCTGTGTAGCTGCCACTGTGGCTGAGGCTGAAGTTGGAAGTTACAACTCGTCCACGTTGCTTCCGCGGGCCCTCCAGAAAACGAGGTTTTTGGGAACTTCGTGCGATTTTAGGCCCATACAGTGCTAGACAGGGTCCAACAGGCTTGCAAAATGCAAAAAACTCGGCAACTAAATTTTGGTGTGACACTGCCTTTAACCGAGAAGATCGTTCCGGAAGCTGGAAGCGTGAATGCACAGTGGGGAAGCCCTCGCCCACTTGCTGATCCCTCTTGCGTTAGAGTCCTTTTTCGCCGTTGTTGCGCTCTCCAGTGTGGATTTTCGGATTCAGTATAGCAAATAGGCCCCAGGTGACCAAAAATCTCAAAATCGAGTTTTTGCTCGGACACTGCCTTTAAGATATTCTAGCTACTAGTGCGCGAGTAAAACATTTCGGGGACCGTGTGATAGGCTGTGCAATAAGTACTGAACAGCAAACGAATATGAGTTCTATGTTATCACATTATTCTCCAATATATTATGGCACTAAATCGACATTCCTTTGTATGTAGCTCATAGTCAATGGAGATGACAGCCTGTAGCGCCAGCCTATTATCAAAGAGTGTTTTCAATTTTCCGATCTCCAGCAAATTGCTTGGCTTGATTCTCAGCGAGTGATCAATAAGAATTCGGACTGCAAAGCAAGGCAGTGAGGGGAACATGACGACCAGTACAGCACCATATCATGTAAGATTTATCATCTGCAATGGACATCACTGGGAACCTTAAAGTCTCCTGCCTTGGCGTATTTCCACTGTGGTGTGTACTTATTGTGTAGCTTCCTTTACCGACAAATTACCTCACATCAGGAGCGCGTTGTTAACAATCCAAGTGCATTCAAACTCAAATGTGCAAAGCCAGACTCTCAAAATCAGTGGCTCTGAGAAGATCACCTGGCTTTTTTATGAGTAAACTGTTGGAGCATTCCTAACTAAGCGATTGCGAGAGAGCAGACGATTCATTCGCCGAAGAGGAACGCGTTGTTGAAGTTGCCTCAAACTGCAATGGTGACAGCGCCGTTCCAACACCGTGCTACTACCGTGCAGTAACCCACGTGAGGAGTGCCACGTATTGGTAGAACGTCTACAGTTCTTCCGGCATAGTGCCGGCATAGCCAGCATGGAAGGCGCTGGCACGGTTAACTCTAAACGCAACTAATATGACCGATAGCAAGTTTGATTATAGACTTTTGGTCTAATAAATTGCTTGCTAAAGCCGTACTTGATTGATATTACGTTGGCGTTTACAAACATCAAACCAGAAGACTTTGAAGTAAATAGACAAATTAGCCAGTAACTATTAAGTTGGTGAGAAAGTTTTCGGACATTTTCACGCTAAAATTGCTATTTCTCGGGTTGTAATGCATCTAAGAACAAGAAAATTTGTAGTTGTACTGTCACATACGCGGCTTATACCTGTGAAGGTGGGAGGAGCTTAGGGTTAATAGGGGCGGAGTTTGCCACTCGATTATCTCATTTTTCCTGCTAATAAAGCTCAAATTCCATATAGACTTTGCATATATGTATGTAAATTCATGTCTACTGTATTTTGGAATATTGTGAGTGTTACAGTGTTTACGGAAGGTGGAGTATTGAGCTCTGTCGAAATCCTATGTCTTCGAATTTTCGCCTCTATTTTCACAGGATTCTCTAATCATGGATGTGATTAGTATGGTCTTGTAGTGTTTGCTTTCCTCTATCCAATGATGTACAGCATGCCCTATTTGGTGCTTGCATCGGAACCAAATCATTGTGTAAATGTAATGTCCGAGAACTTCCTTACCAATCTAATAAAATAATTTTCATGAATATTAAACTGAGAACTGTAAAACCAAATTTTCACCCCTATTTGCTACCTAGAACGAGGCTCCAAAGAAAACGGCTAATCTACGTTTGATCAACTCCTTGCGAAGACTTTTCTGGTTATCATAAAGGCCATTCCAGATTCGCGACGATTGTGGAGAAGAAGAAGGACCTCCGGCAAAAATGCCCTTCACGCCCTCCTTGCCATGGCTGTCGAACACGTGCTTCCCGCTGCCGCAGCTGCCTGCCTTTCAACCGCCGGACCCAGCTCTGGTTCTGAATCCTTTCATGCTCCTTGCCCCTCATTTATTCAATCAAATTGATCTTTCCATGTTCTCATCAAAGCCATCTCCGCCCACAACTCCCAATACTAATTCCTTTTCCATTGAAGCTTTGCTGAGTTCCTGAAAATTTTTTCTAGAAATGTTCGCCGAAGCGGGAAAGCTGTAAACACTGTAAGATACAATGTCTACCAAAATGTTGTCCATATCAGATGATACTTGCGCTTTTAGTGTTTTTGCCCTTATTATGTTTTGCATTTTTACACATTTTTACTGCATGTTCCACATATCTCAATCGTATTTTTCACTACTATGTTAAAATGATCAAATAGGCTGGTCTAAATATTTATGTTTAATATAGGCGTGCCGGTGAATCGTGATAGCGTATAAATACGACATAACTAGTATGATATTTCCAAGTTCTATTTTTTCAAATTGTTTCACCTAATATTTCCTATCAATGAAGATTGAAAGTTTTGGTGGACTCGTGATGTTTCACAATCAAGATGGAAATTAAATCGCGTATTCTTTAATATTGATGAGTCATTAATGAATCTTAGACCTGCATGAAAAAATTCAATCATCTGCACATTCGTTGTTCTTCTAGACGCGTTCCGAGTTGTCCGTGCCAGCGCCGTTCCAGCACCGTTCCAGCGCTGTCCATGGAAGTCCGTCGTTTGATCGATATGGGTTACACCACCCCCTGGGTACAGCGCTGAGACGGCACTCACGTGGGTAATTTGGATGCAGTTTTTACAAAAAAATTGGTACCGGGAAAAGGAGATTGAATGATGGTCCCCACAGGTGGAACCTCAACTAAATTACTACTCATCAAACCCTGTAAAACATCAACTATTCCAAAAACGCTTCATAAGAGTCCTTCTTTAATGATATCAAAGAGTAAGTTTTTGAGGCTGAAAACTTTTCTTCACATGAAGAAGAAGCTATAGCTAAGAGCTGCGAGCAAAAGTGTAAAAGGCAGTGAGTTTCTGTAGGGTAGCATTCACCTTGCCTCCAACAGTCATTTCAAATTTCTGTTAGATTATAACAGACTCACAAGGTCACTTCATATTTATTTTACAATTAAATTACTGTAAAGCTTTCATGAGTTACAGATAAACTACTTCGCATTGTAAAAAGGCTCTAGTAAATTGGCACAATCTACTGACCATTTCCTGCACTATTCGGAGCTCAAACACCTTACCGTTATTTTGTTTCGAATATTGTACAGAGATACTGTGCCTCAAAAAAGGTCAAGCGAAAAGTGGGTAAAACAGGAGACAATCGTATGTAACGGCCGGGGAAACATAACATATCACAGGAGAAAATCAATCAATGTTATTTGAGCATAGCGACTTCAGATCTTGTATTGTACAACTTCATCGCTCCACGGGAAGAGTGCTATCAGCATCGAATTCACCAGGCTTTTCTGCTCGCGGAACGCGGCTCTTCGAAAGTGACAGTCGACGGCTGACCTTCTTCTGAACGCATTTGTTGATGTGAATTCACGAAAAGTAATATCGATATGCGTCTTTGGCAAATTTGGAACAAGGATGCTAGGTAGGGTGGTGGAGAAATCATTAATTTTTGCAAACTTCGAACCACAGAGACTTGTTAGAGAGACTAAATGAGATGCCAAAAATGTTGATCATCAGAAAAACAATCCCTTAACGGTCTTTTCGATGTTCCGAGTTTTTGATGCGGCTGGTTGCTATGAAAGAGTAAATGAAAAGTGAACAAAAGGTTTTCGATATTAGCTGCTCTCATTTTCATGTATTTCTAAATTCCGTCATGAAAGGCTGAAAATATGGGGAGTCGAACAATAAGAATGCATGTGGAAATACTTAATAGCTAAACATCATTGGCGTACCCAGGATTTGTTCGGGGAGGGGACAAAATTTCTTGCTCGGATGAAGGTGCATGTGGCGTTACCACGCACTCCGAAAATTATTTTGGGATGCTTCCCAAAACTTTTGCTGACCCAGAACCCCAAAATTTCAGGACATTGCTTTAGAGAAACTTCCTTAACTTTGGTGTTTAAGTAAACCAAAGGCTTTTATCGAAAATATAATAGTTCAAAATTGAAGAAAAAACTCAACTCAGTTGAAGTGCTCGATTTGAGAAAAGGTATTCTAAAGGGTAAAAAGCACCTGCGCTTAATAGGCCACAAGCACTAGTAGTTCAGAATTAGCCAGAGAGAAAAGTCTCGAGCTCGTACCGCCATATCCTCAAAATTTCAGGTTTAGCTGTTTGCGAAAGAGGGGGTGGCTAACGTCATGTCCCTTCATAAAAAGAAAATTTCTGTCCCTACCCTATTCCCTCCCCCCCCCCAGGAAGAAAATTCTCAGCCACCGTAAATTTTATAGATTGCAAGAGAGCGGCATAGATTATGATTGCAGAATTTAGTTCATGCTGTTGAATACTCGAAAAAAAAAGACTTACAATAAGTCTCACGGTTGAACGGGAACGGCGTCGTCCTCGTTGGGGAGCCTGTAAAAGAATTATTTTGATACTCAAGATTAAATTTTCAAAAAAGCAAAAGTGGCATGAAACTGACGTCTGCTTTCATTCGAAGCTCAGCCTCGTTTTCTTCATGCTCGAGAGCCTGAAAAGACATCTGAGCGAGCTCTGTAAACAAGTTGTAGATAAAATTGATATTTTTACTAGCACCAAAAGCTTTACTTATGCTTTATTTGGTAATTTCCAGAAAAGCACAGCCTAACTTACCTTTTGATCGGCGGAACAGTCCAGTTGTGTGTCCGTACATCCGTCAACTTTATTTTCCTCACTGTCGTTGTTGATCTATTAAATCATATTTTGGCAACTTGATTCATGGAAATTGATGGAGCAAATCAAGCAGCAATTCTAACCTTTACTGTAAAAGCTATCGGTGGAGGCGTAGGCATTGTCTTCAATCTAAAAAAAACATATTTTTGAGTTCCGCTGGATTCAATGCAATCATTCACGCATAGGCGCTTGAGTTGAAACTAACAATTTGGTGTGAATTTGAAAGTTGAAATTAAGCTAATCTTCCAAAATTACTATTTACTCACGTTCCTCTTGCTTCCGCGTTTCTTGTAATGTAGTATAACAAATCTTCAATAACTTGGACCTGCAATTTCTTTATCTTTATGGTAGAAGGACCCCAAGAAATAGATGTGCACCTTTCTATAAATTCTAGACGAATTGGAGAGTGTTAGCGCGACTGTTTGTTCGAGTTTCTTGAGGTCTTCCACATTCACCTGAAGGCTGTTACCCATTGTTAGAAATGTTTAAAGTTTTGAAAAACAAATACTGAAAAGGTTCACCTCGTTGTCTTCAGCTCTGTCTATAAAGGAGGGAATCAATTCCAAATTATCCAGGGTTTTTCCAACCAAAGCGAAAAGCGTCGCAGTCATGTTTTGAATAGCCTTGCATTCGTAGCGCAGGTCCATGTTCCCAGAAGAAAAAAGCGAAATTCTAGTGTTGGAGGCTGAGTATACAAAAATATTGGTTTTCAAAGTCTTATGGTTTGATCAAATAAAGTAATTCTTGCAGGAATGTAAATGTTATTAGGTCGTCCTGAAGGTGTGGCGTTTCACTTTTAGGTTTGGTAAATTTTGACGACTGTGTTGCTTCTTTGTAATATTATGGAAAAGAAGAAGTCTTTCTCTTTGTGATCACTTATTAACGAAATTTTCATATGAGCTCATTGCAAAGATAATAAAAGAAAATCCATTCAAGTTTTGTTATTCAAAGTCAGCTCAAAAATCTGGATTAATGCGAATAATTTGAAACCGTAGTATATCAGTTTTTTGTGTGCAAAATTCCCATTTTTGGAAAAAGTGACAAATCAATCAATTTTGGCGTTTCCTCTTGTAAACTCGAAAACTATAAATTCTGAAACGTGCAAAGAGCACAAGCTTTTCGGTTGCGAAGAGTAGGTCATGAATTCCAAATTTTTGCGACCTAGTTTGACATGATCAAAGTCTGAAAGTCTGAACAGTCTTCTTCCATATCTAGCTCTGCAATGAGTAAGTAGTAAAAGCTCGCATTCCATTCAATGAACTTACAAAAGCAAATACTTCGGGACAGCGAAAAGTTAAATTTTCAAAAAAAAAAACGACAGAACTTCTGGGACAATCTAATAGATGCAGGTGAGTTACATACAACTCCTTGGAATAAGTTCCTTATTTTGAAATTATACCTCATCATAACCAAGTCAAATTTTAATGCCGTTGCTACCGTATTTTCATTATTTTCCTTCGCTCAGTGCTTGAATTTTACAGACATATTTGAGAAGTGGGATGTTTACTTAAATTAGGTTCCCAAGATGGTGGCAAATTATCACATTGCTGTTTGTTAGGCTTACCAAAGTGAAGCACAAAATAAAGAATTGCTTAGGCGAAAAAATGAGGAAAAAACACTATTCATTTGGAATTTGATGACATTCGAAATGCAAGAGTTGGAGGATAGTCAGTGCGAAATAAAGTGCAGCGGTTTAGACCCTCCAAGCCATTATAGATTCAAAAAATTGACTGCAGATCATGGAATCCAAATAGATGTGTGACCTTACTTCAGTCAAGAAATGATATGCAAGTATCTTCGATGGAAACCGGCTTGAAATCTAAAATATTCCTGATGAGAATTATGGTATTCTTGCAGTCTCGTGAAACACAACAGCTTGAACAACAAAGACACCATTGTTCAGCCATTCACAGAGTGAAATTCTTAACACATGACGACCAAAGCCTTTCTCGGACCAGCCAACATTTTTCAGATAAAATTACGCACAGTTCCACCTACAGTACACCTACAGTAGCGTTGGAATGCTGGTAAAAACAGTAGAGGTTGTATCTAGATTCAGCATAACAGAATCCTCTCAGAGTTGGTTTGAAACAAGTTAGTAGCCATTCCAATGGGAGTCATAGTGTGTCAAGCGGTCGTCAATGTGTGAAACCTACAAAAGTCCACTCATCTCTCAACTATTCAACATTCCAAATGGTTAGAATTCGAAGTGGTACTCAACAAGATGTATGTATACCACAACGATCGCCATGGTGTGCCCAGGGCCCGGCGGGGGTGGCGCTTTCACAAGCTGGATATCGTTTTTGGCCCGAAAAAGCAAAGGGGAAGTCGTATTTTGGGGTCCGGGGCGGAGTCCCGCACCCCAAAATACGACTTCCCCTTTGTTTACCGATAAACAATGCACATATCATTCTTTATTCACCATTCCTTGTTGATGCTACTGTCCTATGAACTTAGATTCCAGCAATGTGAAGATTCTGTGCTCCGATCGCTAGCCTGCCCGCAGGCGGGAATTCAAATCGCAGTTCTTGTAAGAGGAAAATAACAGAATAGGCTCGTTTTCAATGCAAATAACGATATGGCACCAAATTTGCTGTGTAGTTGGAGGACCATGAGCACAAAAAAGTATGAAGAATTATGGGAAACTTATGTGAATTTAAAAAATGGTAAGTGTTTTTCGAAATTAGGTGGCTCCCGCGCCACCTGGGAGCCACCTGGGGTGGCTCCCTGCTTCCCTTCACATAATTTCCCGGATTTCTTTACATAAATGTGGACTAGGTCGAGAGTATTACTATATGTTCAAATCCGCTTCCAAAACCACCAAGGCACCGCTTCGATACAGCCCCAAATAGGGTTCACAGCGTTATGATCGGCCTCGGAAAGCGCGCTCCAATCGCAATCGGTTGTTGTAAATTGTAAAGTTTCGCAGCTAACTAATAAATGAGTAGTATCTTAGATATATAAACGTCAAAGTTTGTGCAAATCTTGACCCTATGTTCTTTTATAGATTCCTTTGCGGATGAACCCATTGAGCTGAAACCTTGATGACCCGGGCTGGACCAGGAAAGCCAGGTAGTACTACTATAATAAGCGCTGAGGCCGCCCATCTTATTATTTGTGTATACTGTTTGTCAGGGACTTACGGGGGTCAAAAATAAAGTCAAAGGGGAAGTCGTAAGAAATTTTGGCTTCAAGGGGGATATCGTTTTCAAAATTCTGAAATGCCACCTCCTGCCGGGCCCTGGGTGTGCCCTCTCCCTGACCTGCTTTCCACATCTAAGCGTCCGACAGAGTTAAAGATTTTTGCTCAAGCTTGGGTGGTAATGAGTTTGGTTGCTTGTTCCAGGACCAAAATAACAGAGTGTCGAGTTGTATATCGTTGTACTTGCTCGGATCTACTGCTCAGGGACGCCACTAATCAAAAGATCTACATTGAAGTTCTAAAATTTTTCACATCCGTCATAGGAGTACTTTTAAATTCTCAAGTTTGTTGATATCACCGCTAAGCCGTTTTCATCATGAATTGTATCATAAAAAAGTGTCTATTCTTGATACTACTCACAAGAAAAAACTTGTTTTTTGTCATCTGATTGACACTCAGTTTATTTGAATAATATTCAACCGAAAAGTAAAGAACCGAATAATATTCGAAAATCGAATAATAATCAAGAACCGGATGATAATCGAAAGTCGAAAAACGAATGTTATTCGACATTTATGCGAAAGTCGAATAATATCCTCTTAATAACATCTTCGAATATTATTCGATAGTCGAATATTCGAAAGTTATTTTCGAATATTATTCGATATCTACAAAAAGTTTGGAACCATGAAAACGGCTTAAATGGTCCCCACAGTGTGAACCTCAATCAAATTACTGCTCGTCACCCGCGTAAAATATTAACTATCTCAAAACGCCTCATAAAAGTGCTCCTTTTTCGGTTATATCAAAGAGTGAGTTTTCAAAACTAAACAAAAAAATTTTTTTATGAAGACGAAGTTATGGCTAGGAGCTGCAACTGATAAATGTAAAAGACACAATCTTTCTGTAAATAGCATTTATCTTATCTCTAATACCCATTCCAAATTTCTTTTGACTTCACGAAAGACTCACAGGATCTAATTCACAGGATCTAATTATATTTATCTTAAAAGTAAATTACTATGCAGCGTTTAGGAGTCAGATAACCTACTTCACATTCCACAAAGGCTCGAGTACGTGTAGCACAATCTACTGACTATTTTACTGTTCGGGGCTCAAACAGCTTACGGTTATGTTGACTTGAAAATTGTACAGACGATAAAAAAACAGTAATTGCTTTGTGCCTCAAAAAAGGTCAAACGAAAAGTGGATAAAACGGGAGACAGTCGTATGTAACAATGAAATTGTGTGAGTAACTGAGATACAAATCACAGCAAAAAATTTGAAATCTGTGTTATCTGAGCATACAGAAAAAAATTTATATTGTGCAGCTTCACCGCTCCACGGGTAGAGTGCTATCAGCATCAAATTTACCAGCCTTCTCTGCTCGTGGAAAACGGCTCTTCGAAAGTGACAGTCGACGGCTGACCTTTTTCTAAACACAACACGTTAATGTTTTGATTTTTCTTTGATAATGATTTCAAGAAAAAGGAAACAAAAAATGTCGATCTGCTTTTTCTGGCAAACTTGGAACTAGTATGTTAGAGGTTGAGGCGGCAGGGACAGTGGGATAGAAAATCTCTGTCGATTTTATCGACGTTGCGAATTTCTGAAGGAAATGATTGGTATGAAAAAGTAAGCGAAAAGGTAGACAAAATCAATTAATATTGATTGCTATATTTACATGAGGCAGTTCATCTTCTACACGTCCCTCGACTGGTCGGTCATTTTGACAGCTCCTCCCCCCCTACCGGACGTCGAACCCCCTGATCCAGGAAGCCCCGGAACAGCAGGATCAAGTATGTTCCACCCCCAACAACGACTGTTTACACATCGGAACATTCAACGTGAGACGCCTGGCAGACGAAGTCCAACTACATGAACTGCAAGAAGCCTTGAAGAGAACACACTCGATATACTGGCCCCAACGAGATGGAGAGACGAGTTTCAGAAGAAGCTTGGCACTTGCAATTGGCAAAGAGTAAGATCACTCAGATTAAAAGAATGGATCAGTTTGTTTGGGTGCCCCATATTGTAATGATATGAAAGGCAAATAAATCATAAATCATAAATCATATTTACATGATACTCTGCAATCCCCGTCACAAAAAGCTGAAATATGAGAGAGAGTCGAATAATAAGAATGTAGAATGTGGAAATACTCAATACTTATATATGATATTTTTACATTTTACATATTTTTTTATTCATACATTTTTGCTGACCATTATCCGGAGAAATGCTTTTGCACCAACTTGTATTTTGAGGTGTTAATACACCTGCTCTGGAGAGCCTTTCTTAACTTTGGCGCCGAGGTAGACCAAACACTTTGGAAATTTCGAAATCGAAAAAAACCCTACCCAGTCGAAGTGCGTGAGAAAAGAAGCAAGAGAAAAGAAGAAAGAAGAAATGTAAGAAATATGAGAAAAGATATTCTAAGCAAGTAGCGAGTACCTGCACTTAGCTGAATGAAAAAAAAACAACAAAGTGCCATTTGGAGTGACTTTCTCAGGTACGGTCACGAATTAATAGATCGTATCGATCAGTTCTCGGTCACAAGCACTAATACTTCAAAGTTGGCCTTGTGAAAAAAAAATTTCGGGATCGTAGTTATAGTTGACTGCACGAAATCGCCCGGAATGAGCACCCGCGCGCGTGTCTCTTGCAGACTAACATTGGCATTCGCGCTCATGAGTCATCATAGCGTCTGGGGTAGAGGACTATATGTCGCCGAAAAAGGTCGGTCCCCGCTGTCACTTGTGACAAATACGCATCCTTGTACATGCGCGGACATGTGTTCCTGCGGGGAATCCGCGAGGGACTCTTCCACATTCGGCGACAAATAGTCCTCCTCCCTTGCGCCTGTACCCGGCAGCCGCGTTGCAGGCACGCTCGCGTGCGTTCAGCCTACAACAACCCAGACGATTTCGTGAAGGCGACTTTACCGCCACACCAAATCCTCAGAATTTCGATTTTAGATGGTTGCGAAAGAGAAACATGGATATCACCATGTTTCTCTTTTTGAAAAAAAAAGATTCTGTCCCCACACTCCCCCTCCCGAAAAACTCTACCACCATGTAATATGCATAGTTAATGTTTGCAAGAGAACGGCATAACTGATATTTGCAAAAGTTCAAGCTGTTGCTTGAAAAAAATACTTACTATATATCTCACGGCTGAACGGGAACGACGTCGCCCTCGTTGAGGAGCCTGCAAAAAAGAGATTGATGTTGATGCTTAAGAATAAATTCCAGAAAAGCAGAAATTGGCGTGGAAGTGGAACTGACGTCTGCTTTCATTCGAAGCTCAGTCTCGCTTTCAACATGTTCGAGAGCCTGAAAAAACATCAGCATTGAGCTCTGTCAATAAGTTGTAAACAAATTTATATTTCACTAGCATAAACTCTTTACTTATGCTTTATTTGACAATTTCCAGAAAAGCATAGCCTAACATACCTTTTGATCTGCGGAACAGTCCAGTTGTGTGTCCGTACATCCGTCGACTTTATTTTCCTCACTGTCGTTGTTGATCTATTAAATCATATTTTGGCAACTTGATTCATGGAAATTGATGGAGCAAATCAAGCAGCAATTCGAACCTTTACTGTAAAAGCTATCGGTGGAGGCGTAGGCATTGTCTTCAATCTGAAAAAACATATTTTTGAATTCAACTGCCGATTTTACGAAATCATTTACGCATACGAACTTGAGCGAAAATTCGCTTTGGTGTGAAGTTGAAAGTTGAAAAATCAGGCTAATTGTCCAAAATTACTATTTACTCACGTTCCTCTTGCTTTTGCGTTTCTTATTATGTAGTACAACAAATCTTCGATAGCTTGGACCTGCAATTTTTTGTCTTTATGGTGGAATTATCTCAAGAAATAAATGTGCACCTTTTCATAAATTTTAGACGTGTTGGAGAGTGTCACTCCCACTATTTGTTCGAGTTTCTTGACATCTTCCACACTTACCTGAATGATGTCACCTATTAAGAGAATTATATGTAATTTTGAAATTCATATACTGGTAAAAGCTCACCTTATAGTTTTCAGCCCTGTGTATAAAGGAGGGAGTCAACTCCAAATCATCCAGGGTTTTCCCGATCAAAGTGGAAAGACTCGCACTCATGTTTTCAATAGCCGTGCACTCGTAGCGCAGGTCCATGTTCCCAAAAGAGAAAGGCGAATCTCGGGGATGCTGTAGAAAAGCTAAAATATGAACTCCGGTCTATCATTACTTCACAACTTTGTGCTTAACTAATTCTTGAAAAGCAAAAGTTATATGCAGATAGAGAAGCTCTTTGCAAATGAGTTTGTCCTTCAATTTCAGAATGTAGCTCGATTATTTGATTTCGTTGCTACCGTGTTCAAATTTTCTTCAGCTTGAATTTTTCAGACATAAGTGAGAGGTGGAATGTTTTCTTAAGTCCCCAAAATGGTGATAAATTATCACATTGCTATTTGCGAGGCGTACAAAATTGAAGCAATAATATATAATATTAATAATAATATATATTCTGGCTTAAAGAAGTGATGGAGAAAAACACCATTTATTTTGAATGCGACATTCGAGATGCGAGAGTTATGAAGATAGTCACCGCGAATAGTGTAGCTGTCTAGGCTCTCCAAACAATCATAGATTTGAAAAGAAGTTGATTGCAGATCACGGGATTTTAGTAGATCAGTAACCAAACTCCAATCGAGATATAATAAGCAAGTATCTTCGATGAAAACCAGATTCAACTCTAAAATATTCCCACTGAGAATAGTATGGTATTCTTGCAGTCTCGTGAAGTTCACAACGCTTGAACAACAAGGACACCATCGTTCAGCCATTTACAAAGTGAAAGTCTCAGAACTACAAAAGTCAACTCATCTTAATGCTCGACTACTCAAAATTCCAAATCGCTGGATTCGAAGTGGTACTTAACAATATGTATACCACAACATCGCCATGGTGTGTCCTCTCCCTCACCTGCTTTCCATAATTACTAGCGGTTCGTCTGACAGAGTTAAAGGCTTCTGCTCAAACTTGGATGGTATTGCTTTGATTGCCCACGAGTCACATAAAAGCTTATGTCTGACGCTCACGTGTGTGAAGAAAATTCGTACTTAAGACAAAAATTAACCATTGAAATTTAACGCAAAAAATGCCTTTAAGCTTGTACACTAAACCGTTCAGCAAATTCGAAAGCGTTTTGTAACAGATTCAAGGACTTGGTCTGCATCTCGTTGAGAAGGCCACCTATAGTCAAAGTTTGGAATCTCAGTTCTAATATTTACATTGTTTAATCTGGGTGAGGACATTGTCGCCGATAGGCTCCACCCACGCGGACAGCCAGCATGAGGCAGTAATGGTGAAGGCGCGTGGTTTGTTGCAAAGGTCCGCGAGGAACCTCCTCCAACGGCAACGTAATGTGCCTACCCATTCTCAAATATATCCGCTTACTCCTTCGTAAAGGCGTCAAGAGTCTTACAATAGTCGCAAAGAATCAGAGAACATTGGAATCCTATCATTCATATGATGAACTTTTAGTTGAACCTCATGTGCTTGAGAAAGATGTAAGTTGTAAGAGAGTAAAGAAATGGTGCAATCTATGGGGTGCTGAGTACACAATGGTCCATATGAAATATTAGGTTGGAATGAAAAATATGTCGCTTTTTATTATAATTCCTCATCGTGCCATCGTAAGAAGACAAACCCCGAGGACGTATTGATTACCATTCGATAGGGCAAAGCAAGCTCCAAAATGGCATACTATTAGGTCATTCCGAAAGTTCTTTCTGTTTTTTTAACCTATCATAAAAACACGTGGAATGAGGGTAGAGAAACGTTTCAAGCGCTATCCGATGGATTTTTTCTTCCTCTTTCCTACAGTCATATTACTATTATCGCTTGCTCTTGTGGTCAGTGAGATAATGGCCGAAATTTCGAACCCATGGTTTTTACCATGTCCAAAACTTAGGCAATTTTTAACAATTTTCTTTTTTAACTTTTGCAGCTGATGCAGCTTTTCCTCCTCTTTCTATTCAGTATTTTTCTTCCCAATTTGTGGGGGTTTTGGCGATAACATTTTCGTAACTCTTGATTTTGAACCCGCCTGAGGGTGTGCACGTAAAATGCGAAATCTTATATTTCGAAGCGATATACACTCAGTTACTTTGTAAAAATAGTGGACAATCATAAACGACTTATGATACTGTCAACATCCGAAGATCTGCTAATGTTCGGAGCGTTTGTGTGTTTTGTGACTTCGAAAAAGTGAAAACTTCTGGAAAAGTTGTCTCAAAAAATACTGAGAAATTGCTAAAAAATTCCATTAAATTGTACTTTGTTTACTCTATCCGACTGTTATTGAAGCTTCTCCAAAAGTCGAAAAAGAAAACAGAAAAATTGCCAAAATTGGACATGGTAAAAACCATGGGTTCGAAATTTCGGCCATTATCTCACTGACCACAAGAGCAAGCGACACAGGAATATGACTGTTGAAAAGAGGAGGAAAAAATGCATTGGATAGCGCTTGACACGTTTCCCTACCTTCATTCCATGTGTTTTTATGGTAGGTTGAAAAAACGGAAAGAAGTTTGGGAACGACCTAATATTTTTGCACCAGGCTATGTCCACTTGAAGTTGGAATCTGAAAAAATGGCCGAAAAATCAAGGAAAAAATTGTATCTCCGTCCGAAAAATTCCTACAAACCTCCATCTTGCTTTTTTGACTTACATCCTTCATCAAATATTCATATGCGCGATTGCTGTAATTTTTCCTTGACTAATTGAAAATCGAAAGTTTTCACATTTCTGGCAAAGTGATGCTGGGCTCTTTTCGCATAGGTGATTCTATACCACTTATTGGAAAGTACATTCGTGGATTTTCAGTCCTCTACAAGAATTAGTTCTCGAGAAATATCGAATTTAATTTGAAGAACAGAAGAAAAAAGCCAACTTCGATATTTCTTGATAATTAACTCTTGTGAAGGATGGAAATCTACCGTTGTACTTCACAAACTAAGTAGTATAGAATTAAACACGATGGAGCAGCCCAGGATCAATGGCAGAAGCGTTAAAATTTTCGATTTTTCAATGTCTATAGCCAAGGAAAAAGTATAACAACCGCGCATATGAATGTTTGATGAAGGGTGTAAGTTTCTGATCAAGTTGGGGGTCCGTCGAAATTTTTTAGACGGAGATAGGGTTTTTTTTTTGATTTTTCGGTCATTTGAGACTCTCCAGACTCCATCTCCCAACTTTACATGTACTCAACTTGGTGCAAAGGCAATAATACCATTTTGTAGGGCTTGCTTTGCTCTAGAATGGTATTCCATGCATGTCTTTGGGACCAGAGCTCGGCACAGGTAGCATATAAGCAAGCTGGATCGTTTTTGGGACAAAAAGCAAAGGGGATTTCGCTTTTGTGGCCGAAGCAGAAAATTTGCGACGTTTTTTCTTTGCCGACGTTTCGTTTTTTGGAGATTTTTAGGGATTATGGTCTAGGGTCAAAGGGGACTTCGTAAAAATTCGCAAGAGTCAAGGGGGACTTCGTTCTTCGCCTATTCATCTAGCCACCTCGTGCCGAGCCCTGTTCGGGACTGGTCTTTTTGCGATACCATGACAACGAAATAAAAACCACATTCTTTTTTCCCAGCCTAATATTATGTAAAGAAACGATCACAACTCTGCGCCAAACAGTTCTGATTCCAAACAATTGATCCAACCACAAAAACAATTTGTATATTGCTGACCACATTTGCATATGTTCGGTTTCGACTTTGATACGGATTAATCCCTCTCAAAATTATTACGATGCGCCATTTTCAACATGATGCTCCCAAAAGGCTTGATTTTCTAACACGTCTCGGTGAGAGACACTCTCACACTTTCTAGCACCGCTTGACCTAAAAATTAGTTGGGTTTCTCTCAGATCCTGGCTGATGAAGAAAACTCAAAGAAAACTCATATGCGATTTTTCGAAAAGCTCTTCAGCAGTGCTTTCTCGATCCGAGAGTCTGATCATAAGTGACATAAGCTATGGAGGAAAAGAATGAAGTCACTGGGAAGCAAGAGCACGAGAAAGGGTCAAAACTAGATTTTCAGAGCACCGTTGCGTTTTTCAGTGTACTGGGGGGGGGGGTACCGATGAATATTCAAAATGTATGAGGAAATTCAATCGGAAGAACAAATGACATACAAGATGAGCATCGGATGATCGCCTGCTTCACATTATACTCGAGTCATTATTGGTGGTTCGGAAGAATCTGGGAGGGAGGGGAGGGGGGGGGGGGAGTGTATCTTACCGATGGAATGGCGCTTATCCCTCCGCAAAATATCTGCAAAGCTTCATGATTTTCAGCAAGCCTAAGATTAAAACTCAAAGGCAGCGTTCACCCAAGAATTCGCTTCCGTGTTTTTGCCATTCTGACAAGGGAAGTACTTTCAATGGCCATGAGCTTTTGATATGGGATGCGTACCGTCTGAAGCAGCTTCGAACGCTGATTTCAAATCTGCTTTCCTTCTCTGCGGAGCGCTATTCTAGAAAGAGTTATGGAAGCCTGAATATCCTGTTTTGGGGCGCTCCTAGAGTTTGAGGACGCTGCTACGTGCGTTGGTGGCGCAGTGGTGTAATGGTCAGTTGTTGGCATTAAAGGTGAAAGGTTGATGGTTTGAATCCGGTTTGATTGAATTTATTTGAAAGGTTTTGAATTTATTTGAAACGCCACTCCAATATTGTTTCCCTAGTAACTCAATGGATACTTGCGAGCATGAGAATTACGCGGAGGTTTTCTTCATACTCTGTTCCCGTTGTGAGAAATGTCTGTGTTTTGCTCACTTTGTAATTTCGCTTCACCTCTGTCATGGATTTTCTTGCGGAAAACCAAATCTCAACAAGCAAGCGGTTCTGCCAGAAAAATTCTCCTTAGGTCACATTTGCCAAGGGCATTACAGTAAGTGTCTGCAGACGAATTAGAGTGGTTTTTGACTTCACACTGGTAAGCTCTGCACTGGATTCGAACCATCGGCCTTTCGCCTTCAAATGCCAACAACTAACCATTACACCATCAACGCACATGCAGCGCTCTTTAGCTTAATAATCGCCACCAAAATAGGATTTTCAGGCTTTCATAACTCTCTTCAGAAGAGAGCTCCGCAGAAAAGGAAAGCAGTTTTAGAAACAGCGTTTGAAGCTGCTTCATACATATGCATCCCATGCATATGTATGAAGTTGAAGGCAGTGTCTCGGCAGAATTTCGTCTTTCACTTTTTCACCTTTTCGGAGCCTTTTGGTCATGTGAAATCTCTATTTGGGCTTTTCAGCGCAT